AGAGTCAGATTTTGGTAAGAAAAATTCTTACTTGGTGAGGAAGTGGAGATGAAGGACTGCTAACCGTTTGGGAATCTATACCTTTAAAATCAAGTGAGAAACAGACAAATAAACGGAGAAATGATGAAGCATAAATAAACAAAATAAATGAAGAGGAAGCGAACAAGGATTTGACCAGAAAATTTTTACCCGTGTTCATATGAGAATTTAAACTAATTAAAATTTAAATTGAATAACCGGGTGATACTACTAAATATAAGCATTTCAACGTAAATAAATCAAGAAACTCGTGAATACAATAGGGACAAATAACAGCAATGACTAAATGTTCCACACAAAGCAAGCAGCTCAAGTTAAGTCCAGTTTGTGTACTGATATCGGTGTCAAGGAATCTTCAAGTCTTGTAGTTCACGTTGTAAACAACGCCATAACTTGTTGAAAGTTTCATTATCATAAAAATGAAATCAGAATCTAAGTGCAAGTACAAAACAGTTCAAGGTTCTAACTCCATTATCTATTACCAAGTCGAGTAGGACCATTTGCTAAAGTTCCAGGTGAAGCACTCTCGTCAGCAACCAGCCGTTCCTTCATACGAAGTTCATTGAGGTCCTCTCGTACTCGCTCCAAGTGACGAGTCAAGTTCTCAGCATGACATATCATTACCTCCACTCCAGATGACATACGAGCCTCCTGCACATCCAAAAGTAAAGCGATTAAAAACTCTGCTCTTAAAAGGTCTGGAAACTACTTTTTAAGAATGAACTTGACCGTCATAGAAAATAAGAGATGCATGTACAGGAAATCAACTGGTTTAGGTGACTTTTGGTTTACGTTATTTCTAGAGAGGACAAAGGGGTCTCTACCCTTTCTTGGTTTTGTTAATTAATTAGTATCTGGATACAGGTTTTGAACTTTGTTGTGTATTTTCCTTGGAGTTTGGTACGATCAGCACAGCGTTTCCCCTCTGCCAGGTTCAAACATACAAAATTTAAGCACAATAGAGCGTATTTCGATTGAGTGTCACACAACAAAAATCGAGTAATGAAAACAACCAATCAGATCAAATGAAATATCACATGGACACAAGGAGCCTAGAGAACTCAAAGTAAAAACGAATTACTTTTCTGAAGCGCAGGAGAGGGACTGATCAAGTCGCTAATGGTTTTAATTTTAATTCTAACTTATTGAGAAAGTGGCGCGTGCGAGTTTTCTGGGTCAATAACAGAGCGAACAAAAGTAGAGAAAAGCCAAAGTAGTCACGGATTACGTTAGACACTCCAATGACGTTGCTCCATTATATGAACGAATGGTTCTTGTCTATGGTTAGCACCCTCGACCTACAAACTGAATTTAGGCAAAAGTGTCGAAAGGCTACTTGCATGGTTATATGCAAGAAGAAGAACATCCAAACTTCCGCGAGTCGTCACTGACCTGTTTCACACAGCCATGTTGTTCTGTTTGAGTAATAATTCTTTGCGAAGATTTCTTTATTATCTCTAAGTGAGTCTTTAAAAGTGACAACATATCCTGTTGAGGAATTTGATAAAATTCAGGGCATATATCAAACTGATGAAACCCTACATGGCTAGTTCGATAAAACCGGGATGAATTCCACTTCGGGGCAAATATGCATCTATCATTTGAATACTTTTTTGATCGTACTGCAACCTGAACTGGTGTTAAAATTATACCAACTCCTACAAGCACTGGTTACGCTACCAATGGAACATCCTCCGTGTTAGTTTACGCGCATAATTTTACTCCAAGGAGTGTTCAATTGATCTTTCCTCCACTCAGGTTCGATAAATTACCAAACAGACAAGTAACACCAACTGAAAAAGTTAACAATTGATGTCGTGGCACTGTCTTGATCTGACACCAAATTCTCAGCTTTAGTCAACTAACAAATGTATGGTCATCAGGTCGAAAAATGGCTCTCAGATCTTAAGACCCAGCTAAAAAGAATCAAATAAAAGCCATCGTACCTGCATATCCTTAGTGAAACACAGTTGCTCAAATTCCTTTTGTTAACAAAACAAAAAGCAATAGCAAGTCAGAACGTGGATCCTGTTACAGCGATACATGCACAAATAAATACGTTTCATTTAGCCTTTAAAATATCAAGAAAATCGGTTGCGATTTCGAGGGAGAAAATACCTGAATGATATCAAAGGATGTTAGAGAAGAAGGTAAAATTCTTTAGTTTTTAAAAACAGGAAGCCGTCTAAACATATTATTTTATTACCTTGAGTGAGTTAGACATACTCTGTAGCTCTTTGTTCATGTTGGATTCTGCGATTTCTCTGGCACGCGCCTATACAGATAAAAGCACTGGTTGTGTAAAAAATACATGTATAAGGAAGTATTGATACAGGCTTTTACCAATGCACTTTAGCATCACCGGTGAACCAAATCTGCCGAGGCAACATTTATCAACCAAATATACCCAGGGCTCGACACTAACTTTTCAACTTACTAGCCAAGTGGCTGGTGAAAACATAGATGTTAAGACAATTTTAGTTTGTTTATTAGCCAAACTGGCCAGTGTAAATCGAAAAGCACTAAGCAAAACTGAATTTCTAATAGTCTGTGGCTACCGTAAGTGTCGAGCCCTGATACTCCCTTTCAATCCTCGACCAAGCCCCCTTCCCTGTCAGCAATGATTTCCCATGGATCTGTGGCAGATCAATCACTGATACTTACATTTTTTTAGGGATGGAGACATCCCCTTAAGCTACACATTGGTTAGCAGGGTATTTTCAACTTTTTAGCCCTAAAAAGGTTAGACCGCTCTTCCTCCATCGATAAGGGACGTGAGCTTTGGGCGAGAGGTGATTTCAAAGATAAAAAAGCGAGCCAAGATAGAGTGTTGTGCTCGAAAAAATTCTTTCAGATTACAGCCCCCCTCCTTTTCCATTTAAATGGAAATACTGCGTTTGCTCTCCATCCTTGCTCATGAACTCACTAGGACGGCAAAAGAGAGAAGGGAAAAGAGCAGTCCACATGTAGTCTCCTGCAAAGTTTTCAAAAAAGAACAAACAAGAATGAAATACCTTCCATTATCACAAGACAAAAAAATTCACCTGAACCTCCAATCGTCGATTCAGAGTATCGTGATCTGTTTGGAAAGCTAGCACCAGAGTCTTGAACTGTTTCTGATTACCAAAAAGAGTCTCGTTAGTATACTTCCACTAACTAAACAAATACCGAAAAAGCAACCACGAAATAATCGAAACTAAAGGTTTTATTCTCATTGATTAGTTGTGTTTTCTCGGGTCTTGAATGAACTTTAAATACCCTCCATCCACTGGATGGCGTTGCGAGTCAGTCAAAGAAGCATTTCAAGTAGGAAGCTCTGAAATTCTATTTAATATTTAACGAGTGTGACTTACCTCAATCTCCTTATCATTGAGGGCTGGCCTGGAGACGCAAAGTTCAAATAAGAAACACGCCATCATCACAAAAATAGAAATAAGCACAAGTCAGTTAGGGAAATGCGTAATGACTTGATAACTACGTAATTATTGCGTTAAGGTGATACCTCAGTATTACACTGCACATCCTGTAATGCGCTTAAAAATCGCGTAATCAGGCGAATAAGCGCGCGCGCATTCCGAGAACGCGGTATTGTTTTTCGATCTTTACACCAGGAAACGAGGTTCGATAGCCTTTAGCTCTTGAACGAACGAGGTGACCTACATTTTTGTTACATAATTCTGGTGTACAAATTATCCCCTTTGAGTCGGAGAAATTATAAAAATATAATCGTTTAAAACTTGTAGTTTAAAATTGCGTGACATTTTAACAAACTATACATCGAATTGCTCCATACGCTCGAGAGTTCCTACCTTTCAAGTTCTTTTCAAGTGTTACTTTAGAAACCCTTGCTTCCAGCTACTGCAGAACGTACCATGAACCGACTGACATGGTGCACGTGATAAGTGCCAGTACAGGCATCAATTGGATACGTTTTGCCCACCATATCTTTAAAACGAGCACGGCGACCTATCTTTTTATTACATCTTTCGAAACAGAGATTGGTGGCGAACATCTAAGGGAATTTTCAAAATATTTGTTCGATAGTTTTTTTTTCTGAGGAAACACCTCAAGTATTCATTCAAGAAAGTCGCTATACGTAGGATCAGAACAAACTTACCTCACACGAAGAGACACTCCATCCACAAAATTATTACCTCCGACTGAATTTTCGAGCGCCGCGCTTGTTGCACTTTCATAATCAAACTCTTCTGGGATTTTAAACGCAACAGAGAGTTTCTTTCTCCATAAGTTTGTAGCCGTCTTGTCTTTTTCCACTGACAGAGTTGCTTTGCCAGAACTAGAATCCCCCCCTGTGATTTTAGTTGGAGTCTCTTCACTAGACTTAGGTGTTGTTCCTAACGTTCTTACTTCTGGGCCTGGAGATTCTATGATCCCTGATCTCCGTCGCCGTTGCTTCTCATATTCAAAATGATCTTCTTCAGTACATGTTCCTTTATCAACAACACCAAGTTCCCTCTCGAACCTCTGAAGTTCTCTCAGAAGTTCTGTTTGCGAACCCGTTGATACCAATTCCTTAAGGTCTGTTTGACAACTCGTTGTTAATAATTCTCGATCGTCATTTTCGACAAGTTGTACAAATTTACCGCTGGGCGATTCACACGTATCGTCTGACTCGTGTCTATCAATTTGTGGGCTTAATGAGTCACTTGATAAAGACGGCGATCGCAACCTAAATAAGTCGTTATCCTCAAAAGTTTCAAGAGCTTCTTCTTTTTGAAGAGTTTTTGTGGTCTCCTGATCTGGATAGTCGCTTCCGACGCCCTAGAGGGGTGGATGCAAAGGAAATCAAACGTATCCATCAAATCATATACGTAATCCAAGCAGAGAGAAAACAAGCAAAATAGCGAAAATCAGACCTGAAAAAAAATCAGGCCTGTACGGGATTCGAACCACTGACCTCTGCGATACTAGTGCAGCGCTCTACCAATTGAGCTAACAAGCCAACTGGGAGCTGGCCGTTAAGTTGATTCGTAATAAACCCGTAAAAGTGATAAATGTGATACAATGAAATATATGAAGTTCATATATTTTGAACTGCGGTATTATACAATTATATTTAATTGTATCTGATTTATCACTTTCACGGGTTTATTACGAATCAACTTAACGGCCTGCTCCCAGTTGGCTTGTTAGCTCAATTGGTAGAGCGCTGCACTAGTATCGCAGAGGTCAGTGGTTCGAATCCCGTACAGGCCTGATTTTTTTTCAGGTCTGATTTTCGCTATTGCATAAATAGCGCTCTCTACTGCGAGGATCGTGCATCATACGTATCTATAACCGCAGTTCAAAATATATGAACTTCATATATTCATNGGGCTAATGCTCGAAATGTCAGCTTTAGAAACTCTTTTCGATGTTCACGTTACATTATCAAGTTGATTAAACCGAATAATCTTGAAGCTAGAGTCGTCCGGAAATACGAACCTCATTGAGAGAAGTAACAGCAAAGATATTTTACATTGTAAATACAAATTGACCATGAAATACCTGCATCCGTTTGCTTCCATCACACTTTGAAACAAAATCGTACAGTCTTGTTCTCACCATGTAGCTGGTGATACACGGGGAAGAACAGCGAGGTGACTAAAAACAAATAGGTGACATATGCCGCGGTTAAGACAACATATAGAGCCTGAGAATGAAAAAATAACACGTTATAGTTCACCACTAAATTTTCTCCGGTTCTTATTGGTTTAAATCGATCACGTGACGCGATAGTGTTCATCCGTGGAGAGACACTATCAGCCCATAGTGCCCGCCCGCGGAAAATACCCGGATGGATAGTGCCCGTCCGCGGAAAATACCTGGATTGATAGTACTCATCCGTGAAAAGTTTTGAATAGTTTGACGGCCGCGAAGTTAGGCAGATCGGAAAAACAGTGACTTTTCAATTCTGACAGGTATAACGTATTATTTAGCCAATGTACGGTTGCGAATTATTGACATTTGTGACAAGCTGTAGGCGCGGAAGAAAATTTAGTGGTAAACAGTAAAAACAATAGTGTTTATGTCTCGGAACTATCGGTCTGATAGTTCCCCCTTGGAAATTTGATGTTCTTAAAACTAGCATATTTGTTTTAAGAACATCAAATTTCCGCGGGGCAAATATCAGCCGATAGTTCCTCGACAGAAACACTATTGTTTAAGTAGAATTTTGAAGCCCAAACGTGAATTTTTTTTTTGTAAGAAGTTCTGAATTAATTAAACGACGCTTGTTGTCAATGAGACATCAGCTATGGTTACCTGTCTACTTCTATTGAAAAGCTCTGAATCTGAATGAGGAATTGCTTCAAAAATGTCCTTCAGCTCATCTGAGTGTCTTGAAATTGACATCTGAATGGATTCCTGTTTGTGAATGAAGAATTTCAAGACAACTAAACGACTCGCTACTGACCAAAATAATTTCGGGTGAAGAAAACGACGTAACAATCGACTTAATATTCCATTGTCAGCATTCTAAAAGATCATAAAAACTACGACACAAAAGACATAGGAGCCCCAGTCGAACTATACGCAGTAAGGAGCCATTTTCGTTGCAAAGGTCTGGGGATCTTAGGGTGCTGTTGTGGTATTTCATCATGACTTCAGGTTACTAATATAATAAGTTACGCTGATGGTGGAGCTAGATGCATAGGAGTTTTTGTATAAGAAAACGAGAATAATTAGAACACGATGAGCTGGTTTGGAGAGAACTTCACTACCAAATACTTTCCATTCTTACCCTGGGAATGTTTTGGTTTAACTAGAGCAAGCTACGCGATTTTTTCTGCGAAAGAAAATGTATCGTTGAGCTATTATTGCAGCGGTTGGAGACCACACGCGCAGATAGGGAGATTCGCCGTCATTTTCATCAATATTGATGTCATAAAATTTAACGCGCACGCGCCCATGTCGAGCGTTGTGACGCTGGGGGAAGTTCCTATGATCCACTTAGACTGCACTTTCTATCCCTTTTCCAGCAAAATAACCCTTGTGGGTTCTTTGGAGATAGCGAGAAAGTTTGTAAAGTACCGAGCCGAAAGCTAAACCTTTCGAGTGTCCAACACAAATCGCGCGTGGGTTATGCCAAGAACCCGATAAAAAGTGTGGGTATTTTGTTTGTATGAAATCCCCATGGGTTTATCAGTGCAATAAACGATGGGTTCTTGACCAATCGTTAGTCATTCCAAGCGCAAGAAATTCTAGAACATTCATTAGGACTGTAATAAAAATGTGAACAATAGATCCCATTGCACAAAAACAGGGCATTGGAGCCAGAAAATTACTCAGACATAATGAGATAAGGAAACCGGCTTTAAATGACTTTTTTCTAGCGAATAAAGAGTTGTATACAGACCAAAACTAACCTCTAATGACGACGTTCTTCTTTTCTCCATACTAAGCTGCGACGTTGCTTTCACCAATTCGCTTTCCAGCTCCTTTATTTGTACTAAAGAAATGAAAATACAACCACCCTTGGAAAACACTTCTAACTGTTGCCACTATTTAGAAAAAAAAAAAACCGTCCTACCTAGCAGATTTGTTTGCTGGCTTTCCAACTCATCTTGATTTCTGAAAATAAAAACCACAACAAGGTGTACCAACCACTTAACAATTCAGAGTGATCTTATCTAATTTATCCTCTGTACCACTCAGTAAGGTCACGAGAATAAAGGAAATTATCGCTAACTTAAAAAGCTTTTTGATTGTTTAACTGTAAATTCTCTTTGTTAATAACACAGGTAATGATTAGAGATAAGTGTGGAGAATTTGTATACTGATGTCGAGGTGTACAGGGTTAAGCAGACTAATGTATTTCCTGCATATATACGATGCGATGCGATGCGATGCGATACAGGGCTCCACACCAACCTTTCAACTTACCAGCCAAGCGGCAAGTGACAACTTAAATGTTACAACAATTTCAGTTTGTTTACAAGCCAAACTGGCCATTGGAAATCGAAAACCACTACCAAAACTGAATTTCTACTAGTCTGTGGTTAGTTGGCTACCGTTAGTGTCGAGCCCTGCGATAAACGATACCAGCTGGACTTACAAGCTGATATCAGTAACTGGCTCACCCACTCAATAAGTAATTCTGTAAGCTGAAGACAAGAATCAAGACCTTACTTTTCAAGTTGCCCAACTTTATCTTCAAGTCTTGTGGTAACACGTTTCTTAAAAAAAAATAAACAACAAAACAAGAAAAATGTAGGAAATTATATCACTTGAATAATAATAGTTTAATATTTGTAGTACGCAAATTGCATTTGCATATGATCAAATGCGCATAACAATTATAGAATATAAAAATTACATCAGATAATAAACTACAATAAGACCCTTATCAAACTTACAAAACTAATAAAAACCTTATCTAAATTGTAAAAAACTATTAAAAAAGAATAGCAGAAGTTTACGGATTTCCCCTTATAACTAGTTTCATTGTCACCCGCCAACTTGTGGAAGTCAGCTTCAATCATATTTTCACAGTAAAATATGTGCTGTGATTAAATTTTTCTTGCTTGAATACTTTTAAAATCAGAATTAGCTTTATTCTTTGTTTAATATTCAGTATCATAAACTAAAGCAAAGTAAAAAGTCAGACTGGTACGAACAATTTTGAACCTTGCAAAAAATATGAATCACAACATATATACAGTAACACAGAAAAGTTATGATTTATGAGCAATTCACCTCATTTTCAAGACATCTTGAAAGACTTTCCTTCTCAACCCTGTGAAAAGGAAAAAACCCTTAACTAAGAAAAGTTAGCCCTACAGGGTCGCGGGTAGATCTGCCCGCTTGTAATGCGCTAGATACCCGCTTCTTGCCTCTCACAGATGTCACTGTACCCCTTCTATAATCCTCTTCAAATTTATACAAATTGGTTGACTCCGGGGAACAAAAAAGCAACACAAATTGAAATAGACCTCAAAAAAGTAGGAAAGTGTAACTGCATGAGTCTAAATCTTCAAAGTTTCCCAGGGAGCCCTGACCTCCCTGGGAACAAGAGGCTCTCCAGGCCTTCAAAAAATACCCGCCTTCCATTCTAAACTATCCATTTGTGCCATATTTTATTGAAACCACTGCCCTCTAATAACGAAGAAACAACTACATCTACCAGTTGAGAAACGTACATAGGTTGTACCGTATCATCCAGTTTATTTGAAAGTCTCCAAGGCTCATGCTTTAAAAAACGAAAACATAACCTACCTGGCCTTGAAGAAATCCAAGCTGACGGTTGATAGCTATGGGGGGAAATAGCAAAGTAAGATAAACATGCTTTCAGCATTAGATTATACGGATCACGAAGGAACTGACAAACCGATGTTGCAGTGCATGACCTGTACCTATGTCCTCAGAGACATCGTTGTTACCAATCTTGTCTTTAAAATTAAAGAAAAAAGTACAAGAAACGCACAGCATCGTGTACCTGCTGCTCAAGAGATTCCAGCTTTTCATTCTGTTCTGTAACCGTTTTCCTATCCTGTTCATGTTTCCCCTCAAGTTCTAAAAGCCTGAAAAAAAAAGTGAAAACCACTTACGGACATATGTAAGATGGCGTACCATACATGTACATGTTTATGCGACGACAGGATTAAAAACCTATCCTGACATCTTTGAAGTAGTGATCCAGAAAGCTTTGTTTTCTCCATCAAACTTAACGTAGAAAGCTTATAAAAGGTTTGTGAAAAATCTAATCTAAGAATGGACATTTGGCTCTAAAATTCGCGGTGGTTGCATATACAATCAGAGATCAATGGGCCCGGTCAGCATGTGAAAGTTACAGACTGACATCCTGAGGTCAGAGTTCCTTTTAATTGTGGCGTAAAACTACGCCCAAAGTAATTAACCCGACCAATGAGCACAAAGGAAAATACCAGAGGAAGCCAATGACTTCCCAAAGTAAACACAAGTAGGGATCAAATGCGTGAAAACATAAGTGGCCAGGTGACGACCAGTGTTAGAGTTTTGCAACTGGCGGGTTGAAAAGATGGAACGAGTGCGGTGGACCAGCAATGCAAAACCAATGCAACCTTGACTACTTTCGAACCCATTGAAAACTGCTCTGAGAACAGAATACACCTACTTTGCACTGTTTTCGTCATTTAGGAGAGCCAACTGCCGCAGCTTTTGATGTGCCTCGTTACGTTCTTCGAGAAACTCTTTGTTCTCTTCTGTGAGTTAAAAGCAGAAGCTACGTTAAAAAAACAAAAATCTAGGATATAAACTTTAAGCACCGAAAAAAGTTAACCAAGACTACCACTCCAGCCTTAAAAATTCACAACAATTCAGGAACTTTTATTTGCACATTTTCTATCACCTACGATGAAGGTGGTTTTAAAGATAAACGTAAAAACGGTCACTCAATCACAGCAATTCTCGGTTTGTTGTTCTCAAATGTTACTCTCGGTCAGTTTTCATACCCCACACTATCCATACTCATATTCTACAACTTTCAAGGTTTAGAAAAAATTAATGAAGAATTCCATGAGCGCTACCAGGTTTTTTTAAGAGCCGTACGAACCCTTGTTGGGGACAAGGATTTTTTTAATTCTTTCATTTCTTTTTAATCCTAAACAAGTTTGATCTTCTATGATCTGCCTTAAACCTAGGCAATTAACCAAGACCTTGAAATATAAAGGTTGACGGCGTAATCAGTTGACTACAAGGACAGTGCTAAATTAAATAGCAACACCATGCACTCACACTCGCCATTAAGTTTCTTTTCTCTTCTCGAGCTCACAAACACTGTACATACCTTTCAGCTTTTTCACAATGGCAAGAAGTTTAACAGTCCTGAAGTTAAAAAGACAGCAAGAATGTACGAGGGTTAACAAGTGCAGCAGTAGCTCCAGCAACAGTGTCCTTAAACTTTTTATACAGAGACTTAAAAAGCTCCAGCAAAGGAATATAAAATGTTTGGCAGATGAAACCACGGGACGCAGTAAATGTTTCATTGATATCCTTTCAGAAGATGAAATCAAGAGATGACGTCACCAAAAGAGATAAATAAAGATGGGAATTTGATGTCTCGCGAAAACGATCTATTCAAGGATGTACATTGATCTGCACTAAACAGGAATTTTTACCAGTTGAGGCCTAACTCACTAGAATGTACCTCTTTTCTGCTGCTTTTTTCTTCATATAAAGAGAAGATGTTTTTTCTGCAAATGTATCCATCTCTCGTGCAAGGTGTTCTCTTATAATCTAACAGTTTAAAAAGGAAAGTGGAGTTGGACACATTTTTTTTTATTATCATCATTGTTTCATTTTCACCTTGGTTTTGATTCAAGAACTGCTAGACAATACTGGGTTGGACAGGACAAAAAAACACCTTTCTTCAAAACTGACTAGTTCGAATTTAGCAACAGAATAAAAAAGAGATCCTTTCAAATTTTTAGTACAGCAGACTGAGTTGCGTTCTAACAAAGGCATTATTTTACCGATAGGAAATACATGTAAAGGACATCACAGATCTCAGAGGTTTATTTTTCCTTACAATTTACTACTATGCCGGCATGGTGTATCTATATGCCCGCTCACTTCAGATGACTCAACTTTCAGCCTACATTCAATAAACCATTCACAAACCTAGGTTTAATGTTACTTAAAGAACTTGATGTTGATAAACAGGGAGTATACCTTTCACACTTTGTATTATGAAAGTTTACACTAATTTTATTGCATGCTCTAAAAGAAATCGTTGTCCTCGGGCATTTTTTTTATTTGAATTACAGTACTGTAATGCTTGATGAAAAAGCAATTTCAATGTGTACCTCCCGCTTTTCTCTAACATCCACACTTCTGTTCAGTGCTGTCAGCTCATCGAGATGTTTTAGGGTTTTTTCTTTCTTTAAATTGAATTCACCGGCCTTAAATCAGTACAGACAAAAAAAATACATACGGTAATTTTAAACTATTTTGTGCAAATTTCTAGCGTTTAACTCTGCTGAAGTGTGGGGTTAGGGTTAAGGTTGTGGTCAGGGAGAAGCTAATCTTGTGAATCTTTTGATCTAATGGACGATTAATAATCGAAGAAACTTGGAAAACGGCAAACGTTTATTTACAGTGGGTTTTGTAATGAGCATGAAGACACAAATGCTGACACACATACCAGCTGTCTTGCAGTAAGACTGTATTTCTCAAAAGAAGCAGTTGTTCCAGTTGAATCAAGCGATACTCCAGACATCCATGACTGATTCAAGTCAGTCAGAGACGTGTCTATATCATCGACAAGAAGACTGTCATTTAAACTGAGTCCACTGCCCACCATTGGAGAAGGAAGACCTATAGTTTCACTAGTCTACGATAAAAAATAACGATTTACATCAATACAAACTGCTCCTGCATCTTCATTCTTTCCAAAGCAACATTTAAATGCCATGAAGGATTAATTACAAGGATTAATTAAGATTTAATTCAAGTCAGTCAGAGACGTGTCTATATCATCGACATGAAGACTGTCATTTAAACTGAGTCCACTGCCCACCATTGGAGAAGGAAGACCTATAGTTTCACTAGTCTACGATAAAAATAACGATTTACATCAATACAAACTGCTCCTGCATCTTCATTCTTTCCAAAGCAACATTAATGCCTTGAAGGATTAATTACTTTAGTCAACCAATTGAAAATTATCAGAGTATGCCGTAATCATACTATGTTTATTTGCAATAAAACAAAATAAATCAGTAATTTTGACCTGTGGATGACCTGCTAATAAAAAAATTAACCTTGTATAATTAACGGCCCTGCAATAACAAAAGTTACAGAAGAGAGGCCAAAAACTATGCCAGCATCTTGCTGCAAATTTTCTTGCAGCAGCTCACCAGCAGTGATCATTACCTTACTTGTATCATGATGACTATTATTTTTATAATTGACTCATGTCCTGATAATTTAGACATTTTAAACAGAGTACCAGTAGATACATATGATACACAAACCAGATTGCTGGATAGGCATTCCCTATCACTCATACAGTAGAGTATCTAAATTAATGCACACACTAGACCTCCTGGTCCAGGATCTCCTGCTGCAGAGAGGACTGGCGCACAAATGGCGTGCTGCTCGCTGCTGGTCCATTTTGAACCAAACTGTTCTTTTCTGCTGATAATTCACTCCTTTTAAGTCTGTAAAAAGGCAAAATTGTCAAAATGACATTCCACTTCAGCACTTATACTTCTATAAATAGGATGTGAGCTTTTGATTGAAGATGAAAAAGAAATTGTTTACAATTAACTTGGAACATGTTGGGTCTAGGAAGAAGCCTCTTGGCACTTTGACCAAAAAATAAAATCGTCAAAAGGCTCCTAAGAGTTGTTAAATCAAGGTTATACCTAAGCAGGTTGTCCTCAAGTTCCAAAACACGATGTTCTAATCTGCCTTTCTCCCTTTTTAAGGCCTGGAGAAAAGATTAAAAAAAAAAAAAAGATTCTGTAAATTTAAGACAGTAAAGTGGCCTTGATTTCCATATCAACAAAAGGTTCTTAGTTATGACTATTATTACTTCCTGTTCAATATTTAACAATTATTCCAACAGGGCCCGTTGGATATGAGATGATAGATAGCCGAGGCTCTTTGCGCTGAGTTGGCTATAATAATCTCACATCCAACAGACACGAGTGGAATAATTGTATTATTAAAAAGGCCCCCAAGATATTAGACAAATCTTACCAAGTCTTAAATTTTTTAGCTCCCTTTTAATTTTAACCCAAGGCATATGCTTATCATAATTGTAGATTATGGTATATTGGCTCATATACCATAATGGCTAAGCCAATAAAAAGTCTTGAATTGCATTATACAATGATCCAGTTTTTAATAAATATATTTATCCCATACCTCATTTTGTGATGCAAAACCTGCCATCATTTGAGAATTTGTTGAAGACTCCTAAAAGAATAAGAGAGATACAAGATAATGTTCACAATGGTCATACTGCCTAACATGCACTTGATGCTTGGTGATAATCAGCTGAATGTCTGTTGATAATTCAGGATCAGAGTTGATCCACAGCTAGAATAGTCAAGATAGGGTGTTTTTTCTTACTGAAACCCAAAAAGTTCACCAATAATGGAAAATGTTGGTTAATTCTCCCCCCATTTAGTACTAGATGTAAATGGATACATTTATGCAAGCCATACAAAGACGTGACCAAATAGATACACCAATTGGTTCAAAGATCAGTTCTGAAAATAAACTTATCAACTGCTGCAAGTACATTATCAGTCAGCAATTTAATTGGCACATATGTTGAGCCAACATTAGTGGATATATCAGACTAGCCCACCTAAAATAGTTAACAAGCACACCCATTCATTTTTCTAATTTACCCTTGTGCAATCTTACCCAATATTTGTTATTATAATAGGTAAACATATAACTATCCAAAATACTTACACCTGAATCACCAAAATACAAGCACCCTTGAGCAAATTTTTTTATTTGTTTTACTGCAATCATATTTCCTTTGTTTTCTTAAGCATCAAAGCTTTACATTAACTGGGGAACCTGCTTCCACCACTTTAAATGTTTGTGAGGTAATCACCACCACACATCTTACACCATGCAACCATAAAAAAAAGAAATCCTTCACCAAAACAAGCTGAGCATTAATTCAGGCAAAGAACTAGAGAAATACCAAAAATACCTTTGCAATCATGTCATTCTTAACTCCTTGAATTTCTTCAAGATCAGTACAATATTGCTGTCGAGACAAATAATTGAGATAACAACATTGTGTTGCAATATACATGTACAGATACCAGTCATGAATCATTTGTTTTGATCATTTTGGTTCAAAAAGACAATTTAAAATATTACTTTAATGTGAGCAGAAGGTAGATTCTAAAGGTGTATATCTAACTGATGAGAAATTTCCCAACTTAAAAATAATCAAATACTCAAAAATGAACATGCTACAATTGTACCTTTTGCTCTGCTAGATCATTAACAAGTCTCTTTCTTTCTTCTTCAAGAAGTTCTACTTGTGCCTGAGTTTCAAGGAGCTAAAAAGTAAAATAAATTAAAACCGCCTCTCAGTTAGCTCAATTGGTAGAGCGCTGCACTAGTATCGCAGAGGTCAGTGGTTCGAATCTCGTACAGGCCTGATTTTTTTCAGGTCTGATTTTCGCTATTGCTTAAATAGCGCTATCTACTGCGAGGATCGTGGATCATACGTATCTAATACCGCAGTTCAAAATATATGAACTTCATATATTTCATTGTAACCAAAATAAAAATAACAAACAGAAACTTCAAGACAACAAAATCATACCAAAATGCACATGTACAACATGGCAAAAATTTGTGAGCACATATTAACAGACAAATAAGTGAGGTGTTAAAGTTCTTCGCAAAGAGAAGATAAAGTGTAAGAAAAAGACAAAACAAGAGACTAAAGCGATGGACATCTCCTTCAGGCTTCTTGCCAAGCACTGCAGAAACCTAAAAGTTAAAACGTTCCCGTCGACCTAGTAGTTCCTAACCTAAAATTGATGTCCCTCGTTTTAACACCTACTACATGAGGAACTCTGTAGCTCGTCGAGGAGCAATAGTTTGGAACACGTTGGTTCCTCAACTTAATGACGATATAGACAACGTTAAGAACTATGCGATTATGGCAAGACGATCTAAGGCTTTGCTACACACCTTGATTTTGACTGTATCTCCCCTCAAACATTAACCAGAAGGGAGGAAGATTTTAAGTATAATTAGTGTTAATAATTAGACGATATTAGAGTAACACCTTGTTTTTAGAATTTTAAGCTTTTACCGTTTTAGACTTGTAAGTAGTAAGTAGCGATATGATTTTAGCTGGTGTATATCCTATTTATTCTCTAATTCATTAGTTATCTTACTTAATTATTTAGACACGACCTCACAAGCGAAGTGTCGCTTTAAATACTTATCGTGTACAAATAAAGATTATTAATTGATTGATTGATTGAGAGGCTTTAACTCTATTGAGCCTACTTAAAAAAAAATACTAGCAAAAGCTAAAAAGCAACCGAAAGGCTCGTGGAAGCTAATTGGTTCGATTTGCGGGGAAGAAATCATGACGTCTTCTGTCTCAAAATCGTTACAAACTGAAGCCATTCGTTCTCACGAAGGGCTAATGCTCGAAATGTCAGCTTTAGAAACTCTTTTCGATGTTCACGTTACATTATCAAGTTGATTAAACCGAAAAATCTTGAAGCTAGAGTCGTCCGGAAATACGAACCTCATTGAGAGAAGTAACAGCAAAGATATTTTACATTGTAAATACAAATTGACCATGAAATACCTGCATCCGTTTGCTTCCATCACACTTTGAAACAAAATCGTACAGTCTTGTTCTCACCATGTAGCTGGTGATACACGGGGAAGAACAGCGAGGTGACTAAAAACAAATAGGTGACATATGCCGCGGTTAAGACAACATATAGAGCCTGAGAATGAAAAAATAACACGTTATAGTTCACCACTAAATTTTCTCCGGTTCTTATTGGTTTAAATCGATTACGTGACGCGATAGTGTTCATCCGTGGAGAGACACTACCAGCCCATAGTGCCCGCCCGCGGAAAATACCCGGATGGATAGTGCCCGTCCGCGGAAAATACCTGGATTGATAGTACTCATCCGTGAAAAGTTTTGAATAGTTTGACGGCCGCGAAGTTAGGCAGATCGGAAAAACAGTGACTTTTCAATTCTGACAGGTATAACGTATTATTTAGCCAATGTACGGTTGCGAATTATTGACATTTGTGACAAGCTGTAGGCGCGGAAGAAAATTTAGTGGTGATGGATGTCCTTCCCCGGGGTGGGATGGGTGGGTTGGGTTTAGGTGGATGAACCTAGTAGGGGACTAAGTGTCCTATTGTTCTTCCACCTGTACAATGTACAAATCTTTAGAAAAAATAAATGGTAGTCAATTAATTACCCCTAAGCTAAGCTCTGTTAATTGTACATGTATGTGACACAAGGTGAAATATTATGTACAATTATGCACCAATAAAGACTTTGGTCTGAGGATATTGGTTTCCTTTACAAAACATTAGTTCACCTTTACTCAACTTACAGTGGTTTTCTTCTTGAATGTGGCAGAAATTTTGGTAGACACCCTAACAATGTGCAAATTACTTATAACTAACAAATTCACATGACATATGTAAAAACCAATAGTTACCTTTTCATCTATGTTCTTTAGATTGCCTTCATGTAGGGTCCGCTCTTTTTCCTGATGAAAATTAAAAAAAGGGTGAGCAGGAACATTTCAGTAACTTATAAATAGAAAAAGGTACTTGGATATTCTAACATACTTCTATGGAAACAAATAAGTGATTGAAAATATCTTAGGCACTCCTTGAACCCTTCACAAATGGAGATGTGCTGCACATTGTATCAGCTCTGAATTAATATAATTATAGAACAGTTGGTGTGGGTATATGTGATGTATGTAAATAATCTAAAGGCCAACCTCCATTTTTTTTCTCAGCCATAACAATATGGTGAGAATGTACGTAGCTCAAATCACTGGCTTAGTGCAGTTCTGAACATTGATGTATTGACATTGGCTGAATTGGGCAAACACACATGTTAGTCAAGACTTTCAGAGCAGAACACTAGTGATGTCTGTTTATATTAAAGAGATTAAGTCCTGATTGCAGTGAGAGGATTGCACTAACCAGCTGTGTAATTTTTGTTTGCAGACATTGATTTGCTTCCATGGCATCAGCAACTGGTGAGACAATGGAAAAATGCATAGTTTTATCAACATCCTTTACATATCAAAACATTTACAGATTGAACTATAACTGAGTAAAGAACTCAAACAATACCTAGTAAGTAACAATGCAGGTAGACCAATGTAACCTTTCCACTGTCAACTCTAAAAATAAATGTTTCATGTTATATTAAGTAAAATTCCTACATGTAACACACCTGCTTGCCTCAACTCAGCATTTTCCTTCTCCTTCCCTTTATTCTTTTCGATGGTAAGCTGAGCACTAAATTGGAAAAATAAAGCCAATTTTACCTTTACCATCATATTTAATCACAACAATTAGTTATCTACACATTTTCTCTATGAAGATGCCCAGCAGTTCACTGTACCTTCTCAGTTGCTTCCTTAGACTCTCAACTTCTGCCATTAGTAGGTTGTTTCCTTCTTCTGTGTTCTCCATCTTGAAAAGAGAGGAAAGAGTGTCAGCCATATTTTCTTTGTCTCAGATCTCTTACCTTGCTACTAGAGAACAAGAAAATCAACTAGTTTATAAATTTTTTAGTTATTCAAATGACAATTCAACAAAGTTGGCAACTACAAAACTGAGTATAGCAGACACTAATCCATTCAGCAGTCAATCACAGAACTGCAGGTTCATATGGCATGTTGACAATTTTCAAATAACTAGATCTACAGGATCTTGAACAGTTTGGTAGCAGTTGTTTCTTAGCAGTAATGAGAGGTTAATGACAATGTAGCAGTTGTTTTGAGGGTGTTCCCCAGCTTATCCCACACCAACTTCTTAAACTTCTTATATTCTTCAACTGACTCAATCATTGTTTCCTGGAATGGGGACTTACAGCTGGGTTACAGCTGCTATAGGTGCATTTCAAGTATTTTACCTGGGGGCTGGCTGAACATAGACAGAGGTCCTAGGTACTCCAATACCCACTTCCTCTTTATGTGAGGAAGTAGGTTAACCAGAAAGATTTGAATCATAAAATATTCTGAATATTTCAAGCAAAATAGAAATCCAACAACATTGAAAAGTTAATTGATTATCTCAAAATTACCTGTGCCTGTATGGCACTTTGCTGTTCAATGAGACGCTTATTATTAAGCTGAAGAGTTTCAATGGTGCTCATCAATTCACTATCCCTGCAAAAAAACATTATCATTTAGAAAATGTCAGTAATCATATTACAGGCCTGGCAAAAATCCACACACTACATGTACAAGCAGTAAGTGCCTCAACCAATTTACTTACCAATTTCAAATAATTTAGAAGTCCAAGAAAAGTAATGATGTTGGTAAAAAAAAGTGGAAAAATATTCAGATCTGCTTTGCCTATAGATGTGACATACCAAAACCCCTTGGCAACAAAGTCAAAACATCAAGTCAAAAATAACCTCTTAAGTAACCATATGATGGCTCATTTAGTTGGTGAATTTGTACTAATTACCAATCCCTATCTGTGATTAGTATAATTTCAGAGCTGAGCAAAGAGTTTCCAGCAATCTGATTGGTCGAGCGGTTCCTTATATGACGCTATATAAACCACTCCACGCTGTTTGTATAAAATGTTAAAATAAAATGTTAATAAATGTTACTAAAATGTTATGATTTTAGAAATTTCTCTGTTGTTCAGCTCTGAAATTATACTAAAACAATTATTCGCCTCAGGTTTGGTGAATATTGTTGAATAATCTCCTTGACTTCGTCTCGGGGATTATTCAACGATATTCACCTCGCCTTTGGCGAATAATTGTTAAATAGTGAAAACTAACCAGTCTTTGACGGGAGAAGTTCCTCCAAGGCCCTCGACACTGTCTGAACTAGCATTTGGTATGTCTGGTACTTTATTCAAATTTTGAAGTAAAAACATCAGTTACCATGATTAACACTATAGACTAAACAAATTAAATCCAGCTTGACATTAAGATTTAACCCTTTATTCCCAAAAGTGATTGAGATGTAACTTTTCCATACTATATTCATAACGAGTATCCCACACACAGGTAATGAGAATACTTGAACTTAACAGGTACAAATTATCTTGATCAGACACCAAATTCTTGCCACTCATTTGCAAGGAAATGCATAGCAGCTAGAGGGGAGAATAAACAATCAGATCTTGGAAGTGTAAGGGTTAACTAAATTGTGGCTTGCATGCCCAAGTCCACCTCCATGGGGCAGAAGGAGGAGAAGATTTGCCTATGCAGCATGAGAATCTATTTGCCCTGTTGTTCCAAAGGGTTTTTTCCCTCTTTTTTGCCCTCTCTAAGACTACAACTAAATAGGATCACTTTCTTTCACATGTTAGTACATTTTTTAAACAAGGATATATATAGACTAAAGACTTTAGAGTGCATAAAAATGCTAAAAAAATATTATTTGAAACTGCAAAAGTTTATGGACAGATCTATGGATTTGTGGACTGGGAGTTTGAGCTTTTGTAGTGTCAGTAGTATGTGTCAAGTTAAATCTGCATTTTTTTTTATACATGTAGCACTAATATTGCCCCCTAAAAATACTTAGAGTTCTTGAAAATCAATTATCAGATACTGTAAATTTTACTTTTTAGAAAACTACCTCTCTCCTGGTGGAGAAAAATAGTGAAAACCCTAAATTCGGAGTAGGTTAGTTTAAAGATTGCCATATCAGGAAACATTTTTCCATGTAGTAGGAACAACAAATATCACCTACCATGATTGAATCTCTTGGGGCTGCCATAAGATCTTGCCTCTGGTGAATCCTTAGAAACAAAAAAAAATTACTATATTGCCCACCAAAATAATGGGGGCTGACTACATCTCCAGCATGCTGTTTACTCATATTCAAAGCTGAATCTCTGTATAACCCAACAACGCTGTATAATTATAAGCTGTTTGCATTTTCCATCCATTATCTTAAAGTTTTCTATTAGTAGTAAACAACCAATTAAGTCACCAAATAAGATACAGATCCTGCAAAAGATTGCATATACATTCCTCAGTCTGTATTTTGCTGGACTGAATAATTTTTCTAAACTTTAAACGGGACACCAAACAAAAAACCATTAAGCAAAATTATTGACTTAAGTGAAAGTTTTTTTGCCCTAGAGCACTCTGAACAAGAAAACTGATTTCATCTAACTAGCTTGCTATATTATGCCCTTCTCTATCCTCTTATCTCACTTGTAATTATTCATTAGACTCTAGTCTGTTGAAATGGAGGAAAAAATAAATACAAAATACAAAGGTGCACGACACACAATCAAAGTAAAATATTATAAAGTTAAGTTTAAATCTGCAAATCTTTATAAAAACCACATGAAATCTTGATGTAACTTACCATACAGTTTACAGCAACAGGAGAGGGGCATTCATCATCAGCATTTACATAGCTAGGGAATAACAAGGAAAATAAAAATTCAAGACTTAAAAAGTTTACACATTGTAATTTATAAATATTCAAAACTAGGTAAAATTATTCCAAACTAATTTGACTTGTATTTCTGTCCTTGACTGTAAGGACTTTACATATGACATGCCTTGAGTGATTTTGATTAGTTTGCAATCATTTTGACCTGAAATTTAATGTGAAGTAAACCTCTAGTGCACTGAGACTGAATGGCTAAATATATGAAAGTTTTTGTACATCTAAATGAAAACACCCTCTCAATGCAATTATACACATAAAAAATTATGTTTGTATATTTAATGAAATTAAAAAGGATTCACTCAATTGATTTTTTTCCTAAAGTTACAAAATTTTACAACCCTTTGCAGTCGTTATTGACCTTATCAATTTTCTGGGCATGGCATAACAATCCAGGTGTAAACCTCTATTGTATTGAAAACTAAAACTTAGTAACATCACTGCTGATGTAGACATCTGATACAGCCTAACTGGATTCACAATTTAGAGGCAAGGATGCCTTGTATAATACAGCTGTATCAGCTTAAATTGTCTCCGGTCTAGATTACAGTATTGTGTGCACACAATTACATCTATACAATCAAAGAACCTCCTCAAACCTTTGTCTTCTAATCTCAGAAATCCACTCTTTGATGCCCTCTTGGAAAGAAGTCAAACCAATTTCCATATCCTTTCCATCTGGATCCAAAATTAGTGACAAATCATCCAGACTACCTGCAAACTATCAAGGGAAATGAAAATTTCTCAGTAAATGTAGGCAACTTCCTTGTAGAAACCACCAGTGTGTTGTGCACATGTGGAGAAATATTGGCCACGATATTATTCCTAGCTAATAATTAAAGCAAGAAAATACCTGCCCATCATTATGTCATATTTTTGTTCACAAGATTTACAGCTCTTGTAGCGAGCAATCAGTTTGATTTGGGCTGTCTACAAAGTAATCAGGCAGAACAACCACTGAAGCATTTAACAGTGTTGTGATCACATGGATTAAGAAAACAATTAATTCAAGAAAATTGTTTTTAAAATAATTATAAACACAGTTATAGCTTATAAAGACACAACCAAAACTTTGCCCTTTTGGCAAAATACATTCATTAGTTATCTAATGACATATATGGTTTTAATAAGTAAAAACAAGATGTCTGGCACCAAGGTTTTAGTTGCACTTGGAAATTTAAATCTTGGAAAGCAGACTGCACAAGTCATCTTTGCACCTTATTTGTTTGAAAAATTTTATCAAATTTGCCTTCAGCATCTGCTGCATGGAGCCATCAAAACATTACGAGACCAACTGGAAAGTACCATCAATTTTCAAATGTCATTTCAATCAGAAGGAAGTTAGCATTTGCATGTTAACTAGTATTTTGCATGTGATCTGTAGCACGAACCCTTGAGAAGGTAATGTTTAAATTTCGATCTTCACCGCCATATTACAGTTAATAATGCATTAGTGTTACCATACAACTAAACGGTAATTCATGAAGACAAAAAGGTTTCTTACGAAATGTTTAAGGCATTGTACATTGTACGTGTCGAGAGACAGGACAGCTGTGTAGGATTCAAGTGTTATAACAATCTACGTTCTCGAAGAAAATTAGGACTTGTAAAAACAACTTATCGACACAAACTGCTATCATATAAGTAATTAGTAATCGGTAGCTTTTTCTTGCATAAACATAGCCTCCTCTTTTGAACATCTCGCTGACTTCTTTCCAGTTGATATGTAAATAAATACAAGCTCGCACATATTTAGAAATTAGATTGAACACTATGATTATTGATTTTGGATGCATTACAAACATATGCTTAAAAAACAGTAGCAAAATATTATATTGCAGTTTCAAGAGTATTGTACTCCTCAGTTGGTTGAGCAGAAACGTAATCTGCTTATCGCATGATTGTCGAGCTACAAAGATATGTTAAATTAAATTTACCACAGGTAAACAAATGGACGGTTAAATATGAAACGCATCTCCCGACCGTAACAGCCCTCGGAACTTTAGCAAAACGTACTGAAAACAGACAAAATCGAGCTGTTCGTGTTCAGCTAGGTTTAAAAAGACTTTTGCGGAACAATTCAAACGCTGCTACCGAGGAATTTGTAACCCTTGAATAAAACTAAGATGGTGAAAATCAACGAACAGATTGAAAAGCGGAAGACATTTTGCGTGTAGGTGTGATAAAGAATTGTACCGAGCTTTGGGGACTATTTCAAATTTTAACTGAAATTTTCAAAACGTTGAACTCATCATCAGTGCATAAATTACCGTAATTTGCGGTAAAAGATAACGAAAATATTATTACGGGACGTTAAATACCTCTTCGGTGCCACTGGAAATTGCGTTACGGAGATATTCGATAAGTTTCGATACGGAAACTCGACCCGTATTATCCTTGTCACAGTCGTAGAAAAAATTATCGAGAACAGCATCGGCATCGTCGGAAATCTTAGACGGGTCATCGTCCTTTTCTGGCCCCTGGAAATAGGAAACCGTAAAAACAAAAAAAACCATTATTGCAACCAAGGGATACCTTCTCACTCCAGAGAAGCAAACGAAACTGCGAAACAACCTACGGCGAGCTAAGTGAGTTGGAAAAAATCAAGCTAAATTGAGGTTTTTCACCGCAACCCAATACACTATCTTACCGCTGTGTCCATCATGAATTGGAAGGCATTTAACAGATACTATTGGGAATATCACTGCTGATGTTTATCTGTTTATCGGTAATAATAAAATTGGCTTTAGGCGATCTCTTCAATGCATGCAGTTACACCGCACTTGTGTCCCAGCGTTGTCACGGCAATGCCTTTCAATTCTAGTTTCTTGGTCCGAGGTGTTTCTTGTTTGTGGTTTAAAAAGGTATCTGCTAAACTATTGGAGAACCTTGACATTTTGGACCGAAAAAAAAAATACAATACGAATAACTCGTCCTTAAAGGCAAACGAACAAAGACGAAAGTTAAACAAAACTAAAGGAAAGCGCGCCATTTGTTGACTCGTGCCAAATTTGGCATTTGATTGTCTACATCACCAAATATGGTAACTATCTTGAACGTAGAAAGCGCGCGAATAGATGTTTATCTTTCCAGCGCTTACTTTTGCCGCAGTTGGCGCTCACACTTCGTGGAAGCTAAGCCTCGACCGCGTCTTAAGCGCGATGCTGATTACGTTGCTCATATAAACGACCCGTGACCACAGATTACGTCACACTGGAAAAAAATATATATCTATTATTAGACATATAAAAAATTATATGTATGTAAAGGTATAATATCTCTTCAACACTCGCTACAAACAATAAAATCTCATATCAAGAAATGACTTCATGTGTTGTTGATTAACATTGAGCCAATATATAATTCGAAGAAAGCATATATATGAAAATAACATTTTCTTGAAAATATACTCTAACCAGTTAAATATGCAAACTGATAATATTAAAGAATTATTTTTTCTCTGGAGTAATTTATATGTTGGTGGTAACAAACATGACAAACTTTGAAAAAAAAATCATCTAATCACGGCTTAAGTTTTCTTGGAACATGATTATATATATTTAGCATCATTGACTCTGCATACTTCATAAACAATGGCTCTGTCTCTGGAGGCAGCCACATGTCTATGCTCTTCCCCTGGGATGGATGTGACAACTTCAAATTCTCCTTCATGAGTGGTTACCGCTCACCTGAAACGATTTTAGTGAGGCAGGTGATATGAGGTAAATCCAAGACATTGTTTTCAAAGAATTTTGGCTTGTGTTCCAGAAACTGGTACTTTGCTAGGTTTTTTTTCCTACACCAGTAGTTTGCAATACATTTCATTGAATAAAGGCTGATAGTTTCGAAAGAAACTGTTTGGGGCTGCGTCGGTGGGGGTAACAGAATAATTTGGATATATCAACAAAGTTGAAATGGACAAAGGGCTAACGCTCGAAACGTCAGCTTTTGTAATCGTTACGGTGGCCAATTTACCATTTCAACTTTGTTGATATATCCAAAATACATTTCATTGCCTTGTTTTCATCTAGATTGCAAATATCATATCTCATCTGAGTCAGGACAAAACATTTAGAAAGATTTTCTTTTTTCAAGTTAATTATCTCCTCCTGTCAAAAGAAAGTGCCTAACCTAAATGGTATCAGTTTCTTTGTAATATATTGTTTGCAAAAATGTAAAGCTCAGGATGCAGTTAATGAAGTTAGCTGGAGCCTGCAACACACTTTCCAACTGATCTCTAATCCAGGACTTATAAAATCCAGTTTAATGTTCACCTGTCAGCTTTGAGAACTTTGGAGTAAGTGTAATGCCTGTTCACAGACAGTTGACTGCCGATATCATGCAGACCAGGGCTCCTTTACAGACTCATGTCTGTTCTCCAGTTTCTCATACCTGATTAAAATTCTTGTACTACTAACACCTCTTGGCTGTTATCTTTTTTAAATGATTTTTTGGTTGTGCAAAGCAACAAGCTTGCAACAATCCAAAGAAACACCTGGCTTTGTCGACAGTCCTCATTTCCCTTAAATCTCCAAAAGCATTACAAGGTTGTGTTGGAAACTCCTTAGAATGTCTTGAATTTTTCAGAAATCTTAAGATCTTCTCAGGATGATCTACTCATATAAAAACAATTTTCACCTTTGAATCAAAAATCCTATAGTAGGTATAGAATATTCTAAAGGAACATTGCTCTCCAAGAAATAATTATTTGCAAGGGCACTCAAATTCTTTAGCAAACATCCTGAATAAAATGAAATGGGGAAACACACAAGCAAGCAGAAATAATCTGTTGCCTATAAAAGAGATGTGACTTGACATAAGAGACTCGATGGGCCTTTATTGAAAATCCATTTTCATGCCATGGATATAAAACATAATAATCCTGTTTATAACAGTCTTGACTCCTTCTTGTGTTAACTTGCAGCATGTACATTTCAGTATAGTATGATTTCAGAAGAAATTAAAAGCTTCTAAAGGGGACTAACAGATTCCATGTTTGTTAACAACTTCACATTTGTGGAAACAGACAACACCAAATAAGGAGTGCACCCCTGAACTTCTCAAAACACCCCCCTCCCCCATATATCGAAATTCCCATACAGCAATATGACATCAATTAGAATCATATCAAATCTGAACTCAATTGGAATGGTGTAACACTTGCTGGGTTACACTTCAGTAGAGCTTCTGACCAGAGTAATGCTAGATCTGGCTTTTCCTTGGAAGTAAGTTCCCACGCCACTGTAAAATTATCCTTACTAACAAAATTTTGGGTCACTGCTACACTGGTTCTTAAATTAAGTACAACATGCCACCATCCAGCAGGGACAAAAATAACATCTCCAGGGTATTGAAGTGTGACCAATGGTTTATATTCCTCGGGCCAGGAGTTGCTTTGCATTCTGGGGTAGATATTTATGAGCCAATCACTAGCTTCTTCACAGCATGAGCCATTTTGATTCCCTTTAAGCATGTCAGCTGGTGTTTCTGGTGGAAAAAAAAGCCAAAGTTTCTCTCCGAATAACAGTCTGTTCCACGCACTCGTCCCAAGAGGATCAACATGAACTACCGTTCCTGAATACTTCGGACCTATCAACAACCACTTCCAAGGCGGGCGTTCTTCTTTCCTCAGGCACGCCATAGAATCCTGTTTGAAAAACCTGGGTTTCTGAAACAATTTTTCGATCAAAATTCGTTTCCTTGGTGCACCTTTCCAGTGGGGTATCCAAGCATCAAAAATATATAGCGGAAATCGGTCTTTGCATCGTCTCGTGTAGGTAAGAAAATCTTTCAATTTGATCTCTATTGAATAACCATCGCTATCTTCCCCACATTCAAAGTATCTATCTTTAAATAGCTTGAAGAAACTGTACAATCGTACCGAAGCTGGGAAAGAATACCGTGGTAAATTAGCATGATCACCATGACGTTCACTTATCACCACTGGAATATTACCTTTTTCAAAGCGATCCCGAAATTCTTTCAAAGAAACGTCGTTCGTGAAGATGTTATCCACATTGCATTTGAACTTGTTAGCGCTCCAAATAAAGCGTAATCCCTCGACTATCGACGCTACTTCTTTCCTGTGTTGTGAAACTTCATAGCATTCTTTCATTTTTAAGTGAGGGCGCACTTTCACTTTTACACGGTCGAAATTCCTGAGTAAATGATAGAGTTTGCGATACCGTCTCATGTTTGATACAGTCGTCCGCCATTGCAGTCCAAATTCGCGAGAAGAGACTGGAAGAAATAACAATATTGTCCAGGCTTTCTCGGTTGTCCCGCATTTGCCGTCGCCAGTCACTCCTGATCCTGAGCAACCGTACAGTAGACATCTGTAACCGTCACAGGGTGTACCTAGCCATCACAATTCATACAAAACCGTCCTTGGACATCCATAAGGTAACTGGTGAATTCGCCCAATATCACTTTTGCAAGTTTACCCCCTAAAGTAAAACGAGTTGGTAACGGAGGGGGCGAACTACTTCATGAACTCGCAAAGGTGATAGGGGGCGAACTTGCAATGAGGCGAATTCACCATAAATCCTTCAATGTTTTTTGCCATTGCAGGTGAATTGTGTTTGCCGCACAGAATCCGGAAAAGTTCTTGAACCACATGTTTAACTAAGAAATTCTAAAACCAGCTGTTCCTGATGAAAAGGCAGAACGAACATATCCGTCAAGTCCGGTGAGTTTGAAGTTGAGGAAAAAAAAGAGCGTGAGGTTTGCTCTTCTCTTTCTGGCATTCAGTGACATAATACACGGCTTTTTAAGCATTTGCTGTTATTTCTTTTTGGTGTTCTAGATCCTTCCTTCTTAATGAAAAATTTTAATATAAACTGAACCCACGTCGCCATGATGGCGTACTTATAAGCCCCTATTCCTCAGAGGAGCTGATTGGCTTGTTTTGTTTTGTTTTGTTTTGTTTTGTTTTGTTTTTTTATATATTGAACATAAGGTAAATTAAAATTCAAGGTAATTTGGTAATATCAACTGAGTTGAAATTGTAAATTGGCCACCGTAAAGAGCTAAAAGGCAGCCGTTTCGAGCGTGAGCTTTTTAGTGACGAAGGGCTAACGCTCGAAACGCCAGCTTTTAACTCTTTACGGTGGCCAACTTTACAATTTCAACTTAGTTGATATTACCAAATTACCACCGACGTAGCACCACAGTTTCTTTAGAAACTTACCCCCTTTATAAATTAAAATTCAACCGAGGGAGTTTTAATTTCCTGAATGTCCTCCGCCTGAACAATTAATATCCGGTGATTTTAAGTGCAACTGGCAAAATTGGCATAATCTTTTGTGATGAATGCGCGTCTACGAATAGAAAGTTTACTGAATCGAGGCCAGGACAACTTAACGTAATGGTCAGAAAAGTGGAATTTGCCCAAGTACAAAAACTGGTGTCTGATTATTGTCGTAAGCTGTCACGGATTCTCTCTTGAACAAATTACCTATAGACTACTAAATTGGGCTTGTAGTTAAAACAACTCTAAGTAAACAAAAAGCGAAACCTTGATTGCTTTATCTGTAATTGGGTGCCCCTTTAAAACACGCGTTTCCCCTTTCTCGATGCAAACTAAGGCGGAATCAATTGAAATGAATCACCTTCACGTCCAGATCAAAACTGTAACATAGAAAAAAATATATGGCGTCAATATTCAACCACACTGACTTCTGGCACTTAAGCGGCAACGCTGCAGCAAACATACTTCTCAAGAATCAACAGAATTTAGTAGTTATTTTGGCTTGGATTCAAGGTATCATTTTATGCGCAATGTCGCCTCTAATCACCTTTGGGAATGCGTTTGTGGTCTTTGCAGTATGGAAAGATCCATTGAGAAAGTTGCGCTCATCACCTTCGAATTTCATTCTTCAATCGATGGCTGTCGCCGACTTATTTGTTGGTTTGGTTTTGTCCCCGCTCAACGCATACTGGATTTTGACAATAGCCGTCGATAAAAAGCTCGCGTTTCCATTACACGTAACAAATTCCCTTGGAACTACCCTAGTCGGAGCATCGCTGGCACATCTTATGCTTTTGTCGATGGACAGGTTTTGCGCAGTTGTAACGCCTCTGAGGTACAAAGCCATCATTACCTGTCGACGTGTCAACCAGGCATTGTTTCTTGTGTGGTGTTACTTTATCTGCTTTGGAATCGCAGCCTTCTTGTTTGAAAACAAGTTCTTCATAATAAGCCTTGTATTTGGGATTCAAATGGTAGTCCTTCTAAATATCACTTTTGATCTATACATTTTTATTCTGTATCAACTTTATAAATACAACAAACTGTGGAAAAGGAGGATCATGGGCAACAGCGTACGAGTCTGTCATAGAAGTTTCACCGATAAAGAAATGAATCTTGCGAAAAGATTAATGATTGTAATTGCTGCATCGCTGTTCGTCATAACCCCATTTTGTGTGTTGACAGGCTTAGTGTATTTCTGTATCCCTTGTTACTCTGAACCAAAGGTGTTAATCTCGGCGATGGTATTGGAGTCAACATTTACTTATTTGAACTCTGTTATGAATCCCTTTATGTTTTGTTGGCGACTCGAGAAGTACAAGCAAGTGTGGAAATGTTTTGTTGAAAGGATTTTTCAGGGTTGCACTAAGATCAAGAAAAGATTCAAACGGAACCAGAGCTTCGATACAAAATTGTAGCGAGGTAGAATAAGCAATAACTGACCAAAAGCTGGGAACTGTCCTCCAGCTTCCGATTCTAATGCAAGTCTTGGTTTAAAATTTCCGACATTTTATGAAACCACAAAAAAAAAGGGGGGGGGGGGGAGAAATAGAGAAATGTAATTATTAAAACAATTTTTAAGGTAACAATAATAGTGGTTATCATAGTATGAATAATTTGACGAAGACAACTGACAAAACGAAGACATTGATTGTGTTTCGTTTTCCGTTCAGTTGTTGTTTGCAAGAATCGCGAAAAACTTAAAAACGCATGAATCTACACATCTCAGAATAATAATGAGTGGGCAACCACGAAATAGGTCTGCAGGATGAAATGTAGTTGATTGATTTTTTCTGCCTAAAACACGTTATACTCGCTCTACCATATGTATCGAGCACTGTTTTACGGATATCAAGTTTAACCCATCTCCGAATAATAAATGTTAACTTGAAATTGGCGAAAATTAAATCAACGCAAGGAAAACAAAGATAGTGCTAAATTCCAGCTGCATCGAACTAATGAGGTTTTCTTTTAGCAAACTGACAACCTGCGGACAGGCGTTTTATTTAATTCATTTTATGTGACAGCAGAGCTACAGTAATTTCTGAAACACTTGACCGCAAAACTATATGACATGAAATGATTTCGTCAAATTTTAAAATGATTTTGTTTCAGTAATTGGCAAGGAGCTTGCAGCTCATGGGTCCGCGCAAGGTAAAAAATAATGCTGCGTTTGTACGAGTCAAAGTTCCTGCATTCGGGGCGCTTTTATCTTCCTTTCCGGCTTGTGAGCATCAATTTTCCTTTTCCTTGTCACCTTCTTCGCCAAATTCTTCTTAAGCTTTCTACGAGCACTCTTTACTGGATCGGCCACTGCCTAAAAAACCAAAATAATGAAGATGTAAATATAAATCAATAGATGAGTAGAGAGCATGATATTTTGAGACAGAGAAATGTCCAACTGCTTTGATGCTTTTAGCTGAAGTTACAATTTCACTATTTACATCCTGGTGTAAATGTTTCACTATTCATTGGAATATTACCGAATATTAGAGAAATGTACGAATTTAAAGCGAATAAGAAAAAGATGTGAATATGACAAATCCGAGCTCACAATAAAAATGAGATATTCTGACCAAAGATAATTACGTCTTTGTTTTCCACTTTATTACGTGCATTTTGAAATCACTGGTGGTCCCTGTAATCTGATTGGCTCTAATTTGTGCGATTTATTCACGAATCGCACCATTTTTTGCTCTAAATCGCATTATTTTACGCTTGACTGAGTTTTTGACATATAACATCAAAGTCTTTCTGTTTTGCATAAAAAAGATGTAAAAGCATTTTCGGTTCCGCTTTTCATTTCAAAACCGGCTCAGTACTGCATCAATGAAATATTTGAATTGACCAAGTCCTGTATTTGGGCGATTTCAAAATGGATGCAATAAAGTGGTGATTGAACCTCGTGTCGTGCAATTTTGGTCTGAAATCATACTTGTGTTTTCAAATCACGCGTATGATTTCAGCCCTAATAATATACAAGAAAACACTTCTCAGCTCTGATTGGTTAAGATGAATGCAGCTTTCAGTTAATTCAGTGCAGAAGAGAGTTAATTCAGTGCAGAAGAGGGTTAATTCAGTGCAAAGAAAGAAACAAACCAGACATTCTGATTGGTCAGAATGATTGGTCAATGTCAAGGTCAATGTCACTTGCAGGGTTTGAATAAACTATTTTTGCACGTGATGCGCGCGCTTTTCTACTGCATAGTTATGAGAAGCTTCCTCTTATTTTTTCATGTAGATTATTAATACGTAATAGCATGATTTTCTCGTGCAATTTGGCAAAAATAAAAAATTGTAAATTTTTTCAAAGACCACAAATTGCACTCGCCCTACGGGCTCATGCAATTTTGTGAGTCTCAAAAAATTTTTACTTGTGCTTATTTATTCCGAATTGCACTCGAAATCATGTGATTACCTATACAAATTGCACTCCACTCATTTCAATTACCATTAGAGATCAATGCAAATATCATGCCACTCTTGCATTCAAACTCGTCGTCGTTCGCCTCTGTTTTGTTGTATCTGCTCATTTGAATTTGACTTAACTGCACATCACACGGAAACGGGTCCATCAAAGGAAAAGAAAAGACAAAATTCACGCGTTTCTCAATAAGTTTGTAAAGTAGTAAATTTTCCTCGCGCAACTTACCTCAAGCGCAGTCTTTCTCTTTCTCGTTTCCCGCGCTTCGGTGGCGGTTTGCTGAAGATTGGCGTAGGCCCACGAGAATGTTTCCCGTTCGACAAGACTTTTGATGAGTTCCAGCACTTCCTGAGCAAGTTTCACCAAATCGGAATCTGTAGAAAGGAATGAGATATGCAGTTATGCATCCAATCGGTTGAGAAACTGGCGCGGGTTTTAGGGACCAAACACAAGTCAAAGTAAAGCAAAACCACTGCAATCCTAGATTTCTTTGACAATCTACTACAAAGTTCCTCCACTGGGAATATTGGCCTTCGTCGCAAAAAAAAAAAAACTTCAATGTGTCTCAGTGAAAGATCGCTCCAACGCAAACTCGCAAATTGTAGGGTTGGCAAATCTCCCTTAAGGAATCACATTTCTCATTGTTTCACGTTCTTAATTTGCATTGAACATCACTTTGAAAGTTGCAAAATGTTTGAAAACTTCGCGGTAGATAGTTATGCCTTGGACTCAATGATGTAAACGATTACCAGCGAGCCAGTTACCTTTATAACTAGTGACTAATTCCAACTCTCGGTAAACTGGACCTAGGATATCCACTAGATGTGATTCAATGGCATCTTTTCCTAAATTTAAAGACACTGCAGCGAGCCATCTCAAAACACAGGATCTCTGAAAATTAATCAACAACACCAGCGAATGGATGAGCCCTAACCAGCTTCTTCTAACTACCAAACAGAAAAAAGAAAACTTAAGTGAGTTCACGGTGGATGTTTCCAGCCACAACAAAACGGCCGTATGAAACTTTTTATATGCTAAGCTTACTTAGGCTATAAAAAGTGTTTAAACGACTGAAAGTAGAACGCAAACAGTTGAGATTTGAATCCTTCGCTGCTCTTTGCAAAGGTCTAGCTCATTCTCTACCATTTTATGTCTGTCTTGAGCGATCTGGAGGGGATGTATCCCAATTAATTCGAAGAATTTTGGGGTGAATACCACAATCCCGCCCACCATATTACACCATATTCTTCTTGCATGGGAGCGAAAATGGTTAGGTTTGATAGGTCACATGAAGAAATAAGCCACCCTGTTGTTTGTTGGGAACAAACCCCTCTGCATCTGTGCGATGTAGATTATGTCTGCTAAACGTCCCGACACCTACTTCAACGCGTTACTGAACACAAGAATTCGGCCATTGGCAAACATTACACTAGGGCGCTCGGTAGAGGCGGTCTTGAGAAATGCCTCTTTTAAGATTCTTAGAAATTGTCAAACTAGGTCTGATTGCTTGGTATTTGGAATGCTCTTTATCAAGAAACTCAAACTGAAGTTGAACGTGCAAGCGGACTCCATGCGTGCAAAACTTTTGTTTAGTTTTTTGGTTTTTTTTTTTCAGTTATTAATTGTTTTAATGTTTTAAATCAGTACCTATTGTTATTTAATTCTTTAAGCCTCTTCAACTCACATTCTTCTTGACTTGATAATGACGTTGTGTGAACGTCGAAACGTCGTCGACTAGCTTTTTTAAGCCTTTTTTTACTGATGTATTTTTATAGTTTTAGAAATACTTCATCGCAATTTTTTTATCGTCAAATGCTTTTCTAAATCGCTCCTTCTTCGACAAAACCTCTTTACCAACGGAATGAAAAACCCACCTTACCATAGTTTTAAAACTCGCTTACCAAGAAAAGAAAACACAGACCGGCAAAACTATACTACTGCTTTACATCAATAAAACGAGAAACTTTTCTTCATACTAACCTTTTGTGTCTGTTTTGGGGTTTGAGAGGCTTCTTGAGTTGCAAGCTTGTTCATGTTACTGAGAAGGATTGCCAGCGAGAAAGAGGTTCTATCACCAGCGCTGATGCATTCTTCGTTTTCTTGTCCATTTTCACCTCCCCCGTCGTTTTTAAGCTCCAAGAGTTGCAGTGTTTTGGCCAGGAATACCAAGTTTTTGACAATCTGTTAAGGCGAAACCATAACAATAAATTTATTCTTCCATGTATGGATAAAATGTTAAGCGTGGAACAGAAAAATGTAACGAGAAATAATAATAATAATAATAATAATAATAATAATAATAAAAATAATATACATCGATTTCTATAGCGCATTTCCATATAAATGCTCTAATGCGCTTTACAACACTGTGCGGGGGACTTTTCCAGACTGCCGGCGGCAGAAATTCACTTTACCTGCTCTCCTAACTCGTTTTCCAAGAGCGGAGAGTGAAGTTGAGTGCAGAAGTCATCGCAAAGCTTGGATACCTACAGGAGGAAGGAAACATAGTTACATGATAATAAAAAAAAAAATGAAAAAATTCAAAAGATGTTTCAAATGCTAGAGTTCCAATTACCTTTCCCGGTAGATCATTTGTTAGATAAGAGTTTAACGAACTTCCCCTCTGATAAGCAGTTACCAGGTCCTCGGGTTTCCACGCGGCAAGTAACAGACCAAATAATCGACTGGACACCAGTCGTACCCAAGAGTGAGGATGAAGCAGGTGCACTTCTACAGATTCTGTTTAGATAGAACAAAACAGATAGATAAGGATATAGCTAGACATACTACAATATATAAACAAGTTAGCTTTGGTAAGCTTATGAGAGTTTTCACGTCGGTGGTCACCTACTGATAACGAATTTTCATTCAAAATCCAAACCATTTACCAGCCCCTCCCTCAATTGTTCATGAGGAACCTCGTCCAGGATGTGCCTGAGTAAGTTTGCTTTGGTAAACGAGGCACAACTACCCAGAGACGGGAGAGTCCAAGGGGACATTCGCGGACTGCATGTTATATTTCACGAACGAAAGTGAGGTTAAAAGGCAAACAGAAAAAAATTAACTCCTTGCTGTCTGCTTTCAGTCGTTTGTGCACAACAATTAAAATGATTCCCTTAGTCCATTTTTGTTTTTTCGTTATTTGTCTACAGGGTTTATCAAAAGGTTACAGGAGAAGTGAGTCAAATTACACTTCACTTGTGACGTTTGTCGTTGCCATAATTTCTTGCTGTCAGGCCAGTAATAAATATATCTTATTAACCAAGCGCGAGGGCCGTTCTGGGAGAATATCGGCCCGAGGTTTTGACAGTAGGGACCGAGCTGCGCTCGGTCCGTACAAAAAAGACCGAGGGCCGATATTCTTCCAGTACGGTCCCGAGCAAGCTTGGTTAATAAGAGATTTATTATACGACTGAAGTTCAATGGGACACAAGTGCGGTATCATTCGGGATCATTAGAGACCATTCGGTCCAATACTGAGAAAATATTGACCGGCAATACAGCATTTTGATTGGTTGATTTTAGTTATTGGCCCTCTGAATGCCCGAGTCGTATAAGAATAGTATATCATGCATTCTGTTGAGAGACACTACTCACCCCATATTTTCGTCATATCCTGTTGTCTGCTCGGATTCTTATTGACTTGACAATGTTGAATAACCTTCGCCAAAAACGAGAGAGTATTAAAAAGGAGGTGATCCTTGACCCGGTGGAGACCCTCGGAAGTGTCAAGTTCCTCGCCTTCCTCAGCACGCTCCTCCTAAAAAGGGGAAAGAATAACCATTCTAGCGAGTAATTATAAAAGTTGTGTGGAAAGTAATTTTAAATGGGGGGAGGGGGTAGGGGGAATTTAAAACTAAATCTGGAACCGCGACCGATGCGGCAGACATAGTTGCGCCTCTAGGAGAGAGAGTAAAGGATAAAAAGCGGAACTTGGAAGCTCATACACGAGAAGTAGGTTTTCTGCAAAAAAATGTAGCTACCTTTTCAAACTGATCTGGAGCTATAAGAGAGCTAACAAGTGGTAACAGAGATCCAAGTCTTTTCTCAAAGCCTTTTTCTTCCACCTCAACAAACAGACCACTAACTTGAGCAGCAAGACGGTGAAGAGCGATCTACAAAACAGAAAAACACTGCGGTTGGAAAAGTCTTAATTTATATGCTATGAGCAACAATAAAATGAGGTTTCTTTCAGTAAATTAATGAATGATAAATAAATCTTTCCATGATGTCACAGCAGGAAGAAATGCTAAGAACGGCCGCGGAACATAACCGTACTTAAACTGCCCTATTTTACCTTTTTATCTTTGAACCATAAGAGTACAATGGAAAATAGCTTCTGTCGCTGATCGGCGTCAAGCTTAGGAAACAAAGTGAAAATGTCACGTAAAGTGGCTTGAGTTAACTTTTCAAAGAACAGCAAACCGTGAAAAGAATTCCTTTAATGGAGAGATTAAGGCTTGAATAAGTAATCTTTCTGCTAACGAATCTTACTTATCTGGGACTACACAGACATATACTAAGGACATTGTTATCTCAAAGGGGAGAGTACCTTCCCAAGAAGTGACTTGATAGCAAGTGCAGTCAGCTTACGGCAACTGGCTGAGTCATCGTTCACCAGGCGGCAGGACAGCGGTACAAAGAAAAAACCAGCGTAGTCAAACAAGATTGACTGAAAAAGAAAAGAACAACTATTGACTTAGGCATAAGGGATGCATCTTGAAACGGTATCATTCGTACAAGATGGAAAAGAAGATAAATATACCACTACCCTTAGGCCAAACAAACGAAAGTGTAAGGTACTGTTTATCTATGTTTGGGAATATGTTGTTCCCCACAGACTGAGCTTTGCCTTTTTGCCAAAAGCAAGGATTACTGGTTAGACTACCCTAACTAGTTATTTGTTCGATGGAGTTTTTATCATCTCACCTTAGGAAAAGAAGAAAACATAGATTCCAACATCTCCAGCGCCGATTCCCGACCAGTTTCGTATTCATAGCTAGAGTGAAATTAAGAGAAATTCAGAAGTACAAGATTAGGGGAAACTGTGTTAGGTGACCTGGCTCAGAGTTCAAAACTGTGGTACTTACCTCAGCTGAGAAACATAAAACTCTAGATATCTTTGTAGTTTGGTCCCCAGCGGGTAATCAAGGAGAAACTGTAGCATGACCTGTAAAGCAAAATTTAGGATTGCAAACACCTATTGATAAAACTTTCAACAACAATAACAACGACAACAGATGAAGTGTCCACAAGAAACTATCCGTGAGAAGGTGCGGCCTTCTTCTATTTCATAACACTATGATAAATTAACAATATTTACGGTAGGAAGGTAGGTAGGTAGGCAACAAAGTGGTTGAGTAAATATCCAGGAATTACCTGTCTAGACTGAAGCTGAACAGAAGGTGAACTACCGGTGATGGACAGCTGCCCAACCTTCCACATGACGTCGTAGATTTCAGGAACAATGAGCTTTCTGGAGAGAATCGCCTGCGAAAACAACAAATAAATAAATAAACAAAAAAACAATCTTCCTGAGAAACTGCGTTTTAATTGTATTAAAGAATGTCAGGTGGTGTTCATCAGGGTCACTCACTCACGATGTTAATGAGTACAGTGTTTGTACGTTTACAAGAGAAACCCTCAAAATAAATATATCTTATTAACCAAGCGCGAGGGCCGTACTGGGAGAATATCAGCCCGAGGTCTTGACAGTACGGACCGAGCGCAGCGAGGTCCGTACAAAAAAGAACGAGGGCCGATATTCTTCCAGTACGGTCCCGAGCAAGCTTGGTTAATAAGAGATTTATTATACGACTGAAGTTCAAAGGGACACAAGTGCGGTATCATTCGGGACCATTCGGGACAGTGCCCGGTCCAATACTGAGAGAATATTGACCGGCAATAGAGCATTTTGATTGGTTGATTTTAGTTATTGGCCCTCTGACTTCCCGAGTCGTGTAATAAGATAAATTATTACACGACTCGGGCAGTCAGAGGGCCAACTAAAATCAACCATTCAAAATGCTGTATTGCCGGTCCAATATTCTCCAGTATTGGACCGGGCACTGTCCCGAATGGTCCCGAATGATACCGCACTTGTGTCCCTTTGAACTTCAGTCGTATAATAAATCTCTTATTAACCAAGCTTGCTCGGGACCGTACTGAAAGAATATCGGCCCTCGGCCTTCTTTTTTTACGGACTTCGCTGCGCTCGGTCCGTACTGTCAAGACCTCGGGCCGATATTCTCCCAGTACGGCCCTCGCGCTTGGTTAATAAGATATATATACTCACCTTAAGAAGGGGAAAAGCTGTTCCTTGCTTGGTGTGATCGTGAATGTCTTCCTCCACAAATCCCAGCAACACCTGCAGGTGCTTCTCAGCGACTGTAAATTGCTTGAAGTCCCGTATGATAACGGTCATGGCCTGGAAATGACAATATAAATGCGACTGTAAGGATGTGTAAAAAAAACCACAACAAAGGCAACAATTGATTTGTATCACTAATCCTCCATTCAAAAACTTACAACGTACAAGTCATCATCCAACAAACAAAATCGGTAGGGCAACTCAAAGCAAGTCTAAAAGTTGAAGTAGTCGGGAGAAAAGTTATATTTTTCAATAACCACCCCAAAGGTTTTTAAAACAAGGTATCGTTTTATTGATCTGGACTCGCAAAAATGCACTCCAAGAGGATTTGTGATCATAATATTTTTCTCCCTACAACGTATCTTTAAAAAAATAAAATATGTTTTCCTTGTTCAATGCTGATATATATTCGGTACATTGATGCTTACTTTACTGAGCCATACGGGTATTTTAACCTTTTCGTCTGATGGCAAAGTAACCTCTGAGTACATTTTTCATAAGAAAGAACCTAAATATTATTGCACACATTCGTACTTACCTTAAATGCCGAGAGGAGCATTTCAAAGTTCTCTCCAACTTTTGCACCTGCTTTTGCATAGTTTTTGAGTATGTTGAAGAGGAGTTTTCCCACTGTGGGAACATGCTTGTTCAACGACGGCAGTGGAAACTTAACGAGCCAGCTAACACATCGGAGAGAGATCGTTACAACCTGGATATAAAATATAGTTGATCAGAGGATTACAGCGAAAAAGTAAGTCTCTGAATTTGTTAATATGCACCAAGTTAAATTTTAGGCATTTTAAGCAATGGAAAGGGTCCGAAAACGTCCCTCAGCATAGCAGATAGAGAAAAAGATGCAAGAAGGAAAAAGTGAAATAGACTTCTCCTTTACAGCGAAAATTCAAAGATAGTGATAGGTGTCGTTGCTCATCTATTAACTGTGCACGGAAACTAACAGGACAATGAGCATAAACACGTTTCTGCGTTCCATAAAGACGACAAACTGTACCTTGTTGTATTTGGATTTGAGGCAGTCCGTAATAAGCAACACAAAAGGATCCAACATTTGTTGATGTTCCTGGTCTGAGGGCGAGAGTTTTCCGTGTTTAAGCAGCGTATACAGCAACTAGAAGATTGAAAAGAAGCAGGGGGGATCTTCCTATTTACACTTCGTCTTTATTTCCAAAATGAAATCAATCATATTTGTCAAAGATCGGACGCTCTGCATTAAATTAAATAACTTCACGGTAAAGCCTCGCGTAAACATATAATTTTACAGACTTCAATCACCTCTTTCGCTGGCTGAGACTAACACAGCTTGCTTCACTCACCTGAAGGCCAAACTCAACCAGAATGTGATGATTTGTCTTGTTGCTGTTCTGAGGGACATTTCCTCCACGAACAGGGTTGGGTGGTAGCAACAACGAGCTACTCGAGTGGAGCCTGGGATCGGCTGGTGTTGAAGTTGCTTTCTTCTCCCTACATTTGAAAAATCAAAAAATGAGCTTCACAGATAAAAAAACTTTTCAACTGAGGTCAGTGAGGAGCCTTCCGCTGAGCAAAATCTGGCTGCTACAGGATTTCCTTGTAAATTAGACAAAGAATTTGTTGCTTAATCTAGATGACACCATCTGGCTGTCAAGTTTCTCTTTTGTCGTCATGTTTTTCTACAATAATGAATTAATATTGTAAGGAAAAGTTACAGTTAAAGACGTATTAGAGTTAAAGAGTCAAGCAGACTTTCACGTACGTAATCTATGACATTCATAAGAAGCGAATCCTTTAAACGACTTAACGAGCTTGCAAAGGCTTTGCATGCCTATTAGGTTCGTTCGACAGAGATTTTTTTCCCTTTCCCTTCCCCCCCCCCCCAAAAAAAAAAATAATAATAAAACAAAATAAAAGAAAAAGAGAGATTTCACTTCCTTAAGCTCTCTACACTAATACTGAACTGTTTCTATCACTCACTCTTGCTTCTTTTTCAGCAACCGCACATTTTCACCAGTTATTCCGTGAATAAACATAAGGAGTATCTGCGGAGTGATGCTTCCGTTCGCTTGCAGTCCAACACTGATTCTTCGGAGGACTTCTTCTGCTCGACGAGCAGTTTTGTGAATTTGAGTGGAGTCAAGAACCTAAAAAAAATCAACCACCAGGCATTTCATCAAATTCGAGTTGATTGTTCGGTAATGTTACGATCCGTTTAACACTATACACCCTAACAACAGTTTGAATATTCTCTGTTGGGAACAGCTCTTTGTGTGCCACTTCTTCGTTCTTAGTACAATTTGACTTCCACTACGCTCAGAACCAAGAGAAAAAATCTTACAAAACCGTAACTGTCACTTCGGAATTGCGCGGGTTGGGTACGAACCGACATAAAGGGGATACGAATCATCTGAATTTGAATTTCCCAATACATTTCTTAATTTGCTAGAAAGGAGAATTTGTTGAACAATCAAGAGCTGCTTTAGTTTGGGATCATACCTGTATTCTCGTGACCTTAAAACGTGATAAGAGCATGATTTTGTGAGAAGATACTGGCTGCTAGTCATTTTCAGGGGTCAACGGTTTACTCTTCACCATTCGTATAGCTATCCTTGACCATAACTGACTTCTAATAGCCCTCTTTTGTGTCATTACTTCTCTAAGAGCTTCATTGTTTTAGAATTCTTCAAGTTGAAGGTACATTTATGCGCTGCAAAAAGTCACTAAAAATATCATAAAGTAACTAATTTAAGATACACCAAACCAAAAGCAAAAAGGTTTGACCCACTTCTTTCAAAGGGGATATTAAAAGAGTCAGCGACCGAGTTCCAGCAAATTTTGCAAGCATCTCAAAAGTGTCAAAACTTTTGCATGTTTTTGCTTCAGGAAGTTTGTTGACAATCTTTTCCACCTCACGCTCTTTAGCAACTTCTCCGAACAAATCCTCAATGAGCACCTTTGAGAAAAAAAGAGAAAGAAAACATAAAAAAGAACTATCAGTACCAAATCTAACATAGTAAATATTTTGACTATTTGTCCAGTTTTCCCCTTAGCTTTGCAAAACTAAGCAAAATATATCAGTGATCAGCAAAACCAAAGGCATGATTATAACAGAGGGAGAGAGAGATAAAGAGAGAGTTTTCAACGACTCTCAATCTTTATTGAACTCGCGGAATGAAAGCTTGAAGTTCCTTCTGTTTAGGATCATTACCAGTCTCGCTAAAAGCCTTGCATACCAACCTAAGGCAGTCAGCGGTACCCTTCAGGTGTATTTCTACTCCAAAGCCAAGCAGTTTTGTAGGCTGAAAGGAGCAGTTTTCAGATGAGTTTCGAAAAACCAAAACTCAAGTACTCACAGCAACCAGTATAAGAACAAGGGTGAACATTATCATACGCCAATGAAAACGCAAGGGTAAAAGTAAGCAAACCGCTTGAAGAACTGGAAAACTCAAGTGACCAAGTCAGCTTTTTAAATGACTGGTTGAGAGGGCGCTGGGACCTTTCTGGACTAATCACAAAGCAAAAGAAAACAAAACCAACGCAAAACTTTAATACTTTCGACACTTTAACAGAAATTTTTCTTCAACTTGGGCGGAGGTCTTGGACAAATAATGGACCTAGAGATTTCTTCATTTCTTATGAGTAAGATAATTGAAGGAAATAAATGTTTCTCCGGGTATTACATGCACTGGTTCACAATCAAAAACCTTATCACTCTTGATATCTAAAGAAACCAACTATTGTATCCCCGCAGAATCCCATTTTACCTAAGTGTTTACTGACGCAACACCGTTTCCTCGACAGCGACGGAGCAGGCTAAATATCATGTATGTACTGAAAATTGACAAGTGCATCATCCAATCAGAGGGCGTGTTTTGTACCAAAGAACAAAAAGAACGTAACTGATTCCAGGTCAACACTGCTTGATAAAACTACTCATTGCCGAAGCAGGTAAATGCTCATGAAACAGGTCTTGCGATGTAACAAAACATGGACCAGCGATGTAAACTGGACACTCAATTTCCACAAACATCAATCACGTGTATTACCTAAGTTTCAATTTCATTATTTTTTAGAGAACGGCTGCTGGTACTACGCCACAAAATATGAAAATTGTCACGAAGTGATTGATAATGCTAGAGCACAATACTATCGCAAAATGGGCCATTTCCGAATTACTTTTGGCCTCTTTTACAAAATGGGGCCTGGTGCTGAGCCATTCGTACGGAAATGGGTTTAATTTGCGTGCGAGTGAAAACTTATAACCATTTAAAAGGATGAGCACCAGTACTCGCTTTCAAAAAGAGGTCAAAGGTAATTCGGAAATGGGCAATTACAATAACATCGACGAAGTATTCGACGCTAATTTAATAACTTTAATAACACAGGATTATAAAGTAAAATATGATGCAAGTCGGTTCAAACAGTCAAAGAACGAAAATCAGAGGTCCACAGCAAAATTAAGTACACAAAGCATGCATACTTTTGCATTGGAGGAGTTGAGGCTGGGGTGAGAGGGCGAGCAATCAACAAAAACTAAGACATTTAGAAAGTTCTGGATCTTGTCACTGTTTCAAAAAACTGGGAACAGGCAGTGCTATCTTCTCTTTTATCCTTTCTCATTCCTGTGCTTAGTTAGATTTCTTCAAAGAAGTAGTCAAAAGATGAAGATATTATCAATCAACCTTTCATATGGTCGAGTTTGAATTGCTATAAAGATTACATTCCAACTTATTGCAATACCACTTAGCATTAAAATGTATTTGGTACAAATTTCATCATTTATCATTCACTTTGCCCCATTTCACAGTAACTCAACATAACCACAAATAACATCCTACTCAAGACCAAATACAAGACTTGAAAAATCATACTCTTTCAACGTTGTAGCGATCTATCTGTTCCAGTCATATGACACGTACATGCGTATACTCCGCTTTAAATTACACGCGGAAACGGATATCGCATGAATCGCGAAGCGATGAGCGAGATATCGGTTTTTAAGTGCAATTTAACGCGGAATTCACGAATCAGGTAAAACGTTTTCCTTGAATCGCATGATTTAGTAAAAGTGAGAAAAAAAGAAACAGCAATAATATTGTTTGTTTTTATCCTGAGCTTGAACCCAGAGATGCGAAACAATATCACTTAGCTTCGTTTTCAACTCGCAATTCCACGCTAAATACCTCGCTTCGTTAACCAATCAGAATGCGAGATTTTGTTCAATTGTGATTCCACTAGAAAGTCCACAGACTTAACTAGCGCTGCAATGATGAAATACGACAAAATCGCATCAATCCCTCGAGAGACAAAACCTGAACGTTCATTACTCCATTCACGTTGAGCCGTGAAACTGATTTCTGCTAACATCTATGTTCTTCGCGAGTTATTACATTTTTAATCAGTGTGCATCAGAGAACATTTCCCACGAAATTTTGCGTTAAGCACTTCATTGCATATTTGCGTAACAGAAGTTATTGAATGTTGTTCTCAAAGCTAATAGCATTTTGCGTTAAATATTTCATTACATTTTTGGATTAGAAAAGATATTGAATTTTGTTTCCAAAAACAATTGCATTTTGGCTTAAAAACTTTATTACATTCTATGTTAGCATTACATTTTGCGGCGATGCTTCTCAAATTTGTGTTTCTACTATATTTTTCCATTTTTCGGCGTGACTGCCTTTAACCTGAAAGGTTTCACTCATTGATTTACACGTACAGTGACAAAGTCCTAAAGTGGAACTGAAAAAAGTGAGCATCGAAAACGTATTGGTAATAGGTTAGATATGTTTAGAGCTACGTCTATACATAAAACGCGGGCGGAAAATGTACCTTTGATTCCGTTCGCTTTTCTTCTTATCATCAAATATCATTAAACCGTTCCACAAACGAAAAAATAACAGAAATAAATTTCTCGTTTATACAGGATATTTCTTATAACCGCAAAAGGACTCAAGGTAGAGTAATAAGAGCAGGTTACTGGAACGAATTCCAACTTGGGAGACGGTTCAGACAAGTGTGGAACTTGGAAATTTCTTGATCATAATTGGGGAAAACAGAGGTTTCTCCAGTGCACAGGCTTTTTTTTTTTTTTTTTTTACCCTGTTAACAAAACTATTGTTTAGCTACGATCCTTGGCTAAATCCGATCTAGCTATCGTGTAGTTTTAAGAGATAAACAGCCTAACTCTGTTTAAGCAACTGGCCATAGAAGTGTTGCTCTGTCAAGCTAAGAAGTGGATGCTGGAAGAACTTGGACCGTTCTTGACCTTACTGTGCGTTCACAATCCAGTGTACCTAGAGTGAGACTCTCATTGTGACTTTCCCTGCGTCTCACAGTAAAATCGGTACAATCCTGTGTCCCAACTCTTGAGTTCAGAATCACTCGGTTAAAGCACGTTAGACAAAGAGGATTTAAAATCTCGCGGAAGCCGCGCCGATAATTTTCTATAAAAATCAGGTAGATGCAGGGATTAATTGCACTAGTGGCATGCCCCAAAAAGAAAGCTGGAAACACTAACTTGCACACCTTTAAACCGTAACGATTTGAAAGGATCGGAAAGAAGAAGTGAAGGCACCAGCCAAATGCAAAAACAAACACGATAGTAAACACCATGTTCATCACTTTCCGTGTTCGTTTCAAACGATTCTTGTATCTTTTCTGTGTATTTGTTAAATCTTCTCCCACGAGCTTCTGCTTCTTGAGAGTCACCAGTATAGCGCTGTAAAGTACAGTAAGAACAAACAAGGGGATTACATAGAACAGAACAAATGCGAACTTTGAGTAAAAATCCGACGCCGTTTGAGATTCCATTTGAAGTACACAGAACGTTTTGCCGTCCTCCCTTTGCGTGAGGCGTAAAGCGTAGAACATCGGCGAGCGGACGGCCGCGGCGATTATCCACACCAACGCGATAGACGCCTTCGCGACCAGGTTAGTGATGATTCGTTTTAAAGGAAACAAAACAGCAAAGAACCGATCCACAGCCATCACAATGAGAGTTAAGACAGAAACTGATGCAGAAAGTTCTTGGGTTATCGGAGCAATTTTGCAAAGAAAATGTCCGAGGCCGCCGCTTATTCCCCATTCAGAGCCGAGAAAAATGCGTGAAATCATCCTGGGCATGTAGAAGACCGTTATGAGAATGTCCGCAGCAGCCATGTTAATGACAAAGAAATTTACCGGCGTTCGCATTCTGCGGTTCTTCAAAACGACGGCGAAAACAAGGGAGTTCCCGATCAATGATACCAGCATTACTATAACATACAATGACACTTGAGCTACCAGAGACAATGTGGAGGTATCTGCGCCACAGAAAAGATTTGTAGCGTTTGCTGCATTTGACATTTTTTTCTTTTCAAAAGAAAATCTTGACTTGCAGAACAGAAAAGTGGCAATCCTCTTCTGTCTAATACTTCTATCCTGGATTTAGGGGTAGAAAACGTAAGTTCGTAAACGTCCCAAAGCTGCCAACGGAAGATTGACACTGCCTCTTTCAACGCAGATTTGTTTAGCGCGAGAGCTAGAGATACAGAGCGTAAAACCGCAGAAGACCGAAATTCTGAGCCTTCGGGTGTGTAGTAACATCCGTTTAATTTCTGCTGATTATTGCATCGATGCCTTCACACATCTAGTAAAGCGTTCTGCAGATGGGTCTTGATCACTATAGTTACAGAAGACCGGGGAATAATGGCGCACTAATAATAAATATCCGAAATTCTCCAAAACATTGAAATCCAATTTGTTTAAAAACTCTGCTAACTTGAAATTGCACGGAAAACCTCAGAATAGTTCCATCATCTCCTAAACAGCTTTCCAAAGAGACAAGTTTCAGGGTTTCTGGTGAAATAATCCTGACAGAAACAGCTTCTTCTCTGGCTTACGGTTTCAAAAAGTAATACTTTTTGAGGAGGCGTAATCCGACTTGAACTCCGGAACGGGAAACGTCAAATCGTGTGACTGTTAAACACTATGGGCAGCTGATGAATATTTAGACAGGTGACGGAATTCTTCGAAAAGCATTCCAGAAACACAAATCAGCAGAGTTCTTTGTTCAAAATCACTGGAAATGTTTGAAATTTTAAGAAGCGCAATGTTGAACAAAATTCTTCACTTATGTGAGTAAACTGTCTTTGACACCATGTTGTAAGGATTTAGTTGTAAAAGAAAGATGATGAAAAGGGTTTGTTGACTACCGGTGACATTCAAAGCCCTTCAGTAAACACGTCGCCTTGTGAATAAAAGCTTAATGGTGTAAAATTGGACAATTTTTCCTCTGAATTGTAATCATGGCTTCATAAAAAGACAAATAAACTCCGGCAGCAGTTTGAAAAACTCTTCCAACAATTGGCCAACATACCTCGTTAGCAGTAATACTCGGCGACGCTAAACAATTTCTTTAAACAAAAAAAGAATAACAATAGTCTCAAAAGATGTGATATTAAGTTAAGCTGCAGCTGCAAAGTTCGACATCACAGATCACTTCACGTCAACGGATAGCTATTCACTTGAGTTTTCTCATTCTTCGCCGACATTACTTTTATCTCGAACACTGACATAATGTCTAAAATGAGATGTAAACTTCAAACAAGCTGCAGGAATTAAATAAAAAAAGTTTTGCCTTTCCTTTAACAGGTAAACGCAAATGTACGAAATACATATTGCAGCTCAAAATATAGCATATCTCAGCACTCCCTGTGTAGGATCCAAACACAAGTCCATTCTGTTCATTAGCGCTTGCAGTTTTCTTTTGTTTTTCCTTTGTACGTTGTTTCGTTTAAGAATGTCGTTATGATGTTTTATCGCCCGTGTGGACCGTTCATCGGCGAAAAATGTCGGGAAATTAATGCGTATTAGTATTTGAAGCTACCATTATTTGTTTTCAGTTCATAGAGAAAATTTTTCAGCTAGTTCGTTTCACTCATTGGAGGAAGTAGTTCGTTCTAGCAAATCTCACAAGTGCTTCCGAAAAAACATAATAACAAATGTAACTATCATTCGTAAAATTCTTTCTTTTCTCTAGCTTTATTTTGTAACTTTGTGTTTTAGTTTTAACCGCAATTTAATCGCGTAACTGTAAACGGAGTCGCCGCCAGGGCAGAATCTTGAGTAAAAGCGAGTTAACTCTAATTGCCGGAGGTTTCCCTGAAGAAGATTACAGCATGTTTGGACACGAACTAAAACAAAAAATGCCTCTGGAAAACGTCTCATCAAGAAAGGTTTCGGTCAAACGCAATATTTAGTCCTCTCTCAAGAAAATCAGCCAACTTTGAACAAGTAATGATCTGATTTTTCAGCGAAGATAGTCCTTTTAAGATTTAGCGCACTAAAAAATATAAATGATTTAGGGATTAAATTAACGTTAACATGGAAGTCAGTATAGGTCACGCCAGTCTAAAACAAAACGATTTTCTTGAAATCGCAACAGACCGCGGTAACTAGAGATCGAACATCAGTGAGGTCTTCTTCAACCTCACCTCACTATTTTGATACCAAGATCTCTATCGAAATTTTCGTTAGTGACTATTCTACGTTTGATAAATTGATGTTTAATCGACAGATTTTCATATTTTTGAGACTTCTTATTTTCTCACCACTCGTCTGTTTGAAAATGTATTGAAATTGTGCGGAGAAATCATTGATTGGTCAATTCTGAGAGTTAAAAGAAGGTGAAAAAATGCTGAGTATTCTAAATACTCCAGTCTTTTTGCCAAATGCACGCCTTTTAGCAGCCGGATTTCAGACTAGTGAGTCTTTACACACATGTGACTCAAGCTGGACCCTATAGAGAAACTAGCATTTGCACCCTCGATTTGAGCAGTTTTAAGATAAAACATAAACAAAAGTTAAATGTAAGATAGAGATCTCAAAAGGGATAGCGTCCTTAAAGCTGAATAACGAAAGAAACCATGTGTCACCTCCACTAATCCTGGAAGACACGTGTCCAGTTCTCCAGCTGCCAGATTGTCGCTCATTTTGTCCAGTAATGTATGAATGGTGAAACCGAGTACATGGAGCTGAAAAAAAAATTGGATATTAATATCTTTTTTCTACGATTATTGATAGAAAAAAAAAGAACAACAACAACAAAAAAACAAACAAACAAACAACAAAAACAGCAACGGCAATAATGGCGAAGTGATGCTCGCTGAGACCTGTCATCAATCTTCATAACTAGCGTGGAGTTTGTTGGCTCTCGTCCAATTTTTACTCTTCATGTTCTCCGGTTCTCCCGTTACAACACCCTACGTATGCTCTCCCACGTATATCTCTTCAAACAAGTAAACAGTGTGAAACAGAATCTGTGTATGAATCATGGCTTACCTGGTATCCCCTTGTCAATGAACTCCTGAGCTCCTTTAGTACGAAAGGGAAGTACTGGGTTCCAAGAGAAATGGTGATTTTTGAAAGCGTATCCCGCGCTGCATCACGGACCTCCCGTGCTCTGCTCCTCAATGTGTGACAAACACGGAGAAGGAGTCTACAAGAAGAAAAGACAGCAAGTCTTAGCAACAAAGAACTGGCTAAACTCCGAAATAAACCACACACAGTAGAAAAGTAAAGATAATTGAGGAAGACGCAAAATTATAAGGTTATGAAAGTGTGAAGAATAAAAGGTTGATAGTACCAAGGAGCGATGAACGAAATGAAAAAGTTACTTCGGAGGAATAATGACACGATCGATTGAACAGACAAACATATGGACGAAGGAATGGAAAGACAAATCAACGAACGACCGACCGACCGATCGACTGTCCAACCGACCGACCGACCTACCGAACAGACCGAACGACCGACCGATCAACCGACCGACCGATTGTCCAACCGACCGACCAACCGACCTACCGAACAGACCGAACGACCGACCGATCAACCGACCGAACGGAAGGAGAACGCCGAACGAACAATGCGAGAGAAAGATGACCTCAAGAGCACATTGTTTATTTACTCACCCGGGCAGATGTAAGTGCAGCGCATGCTCAGGTAAGGATTGAAGTAGTTTAATGATTGCGAGAATGACAGGAACACGTAATATATCCTCTTCGTCTTCAGCCTTCTGATGACTCAGTCGGTGAAAATTAGCCGACTTGTTCTAAGTAATGAAACGAAATTATACGGTTACGTTTGTAGATGACGAAAAGACGCGCTCCTTCAGGCAAACTCCTTTTTTAAACTTCTTTACAAACCTTATGAGGCATTACTCGCCGAAAATCTCTGTATCTTTTTCCCACGCTCGTGACAAGACGAAAAAAAATCCCTCTATATTTCATTACCGAGCACATATCTTGACATCTTTCGATGAAGCGGGGCTGGTCGAATTTGAATCATCACGGGAGACAACGATTTCTTTTTTCTCAGGCAAGTTGGGAGGAAGACGTTCAAAATACCAGTCCAACCCGTGGAGCAAGAAAGAAGTTCGTCCTCAAAGTAGAGAAAGCTCTTCAATATTAACATTGATGGTGGGATTTACTTTTGCCTCTGACTTGTTTTTTGTTTGTTTGTTTGTTTGTTTGTTTATTTAAAGAAAGCAGGGCAATTAAACTACTTTCGGCCTTATGCGTGTATTATCGCGGCTTCACGACTACATCCTCACCTTTTTGGTCACACATTTTTGCAATTGAGGTAATATACTGGAGGTAATTGTGTTGTAGATACGCATAGCAAGTTCTTCTTTGGAGAGATCTAGTGTTCCATTCTTTCCTGTGTCTTCTGCTTCACCGATATCGTCGTCTCCTCCTTCTTTATCATCGTCATCATTATTAACAGCACTATCTCCATCATCCACTTCCTTACTTCTACCAGGTCCGGTTTTTTCATCTTCGAGGTTGGTTTTTATTCTTTCAGCGGTTTTATTTCTTTCTACAGCAACCAAGGTAAAAGCAGTTGGTGTCAAACCAATAAAATAAATGAAGATTAGAAGAATAGAGAATGGAGAAATTTTGTAAATACCCTGAACAACCCATGCGGATTCAAAGTATGCTCAAGAAAACTGTTTTAGGCAAGAGTTTATAGTAATCTAAAAGTCGATGGAAATGAAAATACCACGAAGTTGCTTCTTTATGTTGTTGCATTAATTTGTCGTTTTTTCTAAAGCACAAGGATTCCAACGTGTAGGCCAACAAAAATGAGACCAGTTTTTATGTATTTTAAGTTCCTCGAGCCCCTCAACTTTTTAAGTTGCTAAAAATGAATAAAGGCTGATAGTTTCTAAAGAAACTGTTTGGGGCTGCGTCGGTGGGGGTAACGAAATAGTTTGGATAAATCAACAAAGTTAAAATGGTAAATTGGCCACCGTAACGATTACAAAAGCTGACGTTTCGAGCGTTAGCCCTTCGTCGGAGCAAATAGAGGAATTGTGGGTTGTGTGTGCTTTGAATAATTCCTCTATTCGCCGTAACGATTACAAAAGCTGACGTTTCGAGCGTTAGCCCTTCGTCGGAGCAAATAGAGGAATTGTGGGTTGTGTGTGCTTTGAATAATTCCTCTATTCGCCGTAACGATTACAAAAGCTGACGTTTCGAGCGTTAGCCCTTCGTCTGAGCGAATATAGGAATTGTGGGTTGTGTGTGCTTTTAATAATTCCTCTATTCGCTCCGACGAAGGGCTAACGCTCGAAACGTCAGCTTTTGTAATCGTTACGGCGAATAGAGGAATTATTCAAAGCACACACAACCCACAATTCCTCTATTCGCTCCGACGAAGGGCTAACGCTCGAAACGTCAGCTTTTGTAATCGTTACGGTGGCCAATTTACCATTTCAACTTTGTTGATATATCCAAATTATTTCGTTACTCCCACCGACGCAGCCCCAAACAGTTTCTTTCGAAACTATCAGCCTTTATTCATTTGTTCTTTTATACTCAGCTAACCCACTTAGCTTTCAATTGAGGATCGCC